TTCGAGCACTATGTAGTGGAAGACGGCTTACCAGATTTGTGCGGTACGACCAGTATCTCCTCGTAGACTTCAAGGAGGGAAAGCAAGTCGTAGCATGACGGCAGTACGTATGATAACACCTTGACGGTATCGGGAGCCTTCAAAATACAACATTCAAGAGGCACTGATCTGGCCGAGCATACCTTTGGTGGTCATCTGCAAAATTTCAACTTGCAAAATGAACAGTGTTTTGATTGAACGGCGGCTTAAAAGTACGAAGTTTGTGAAAAAGGGTGTCGAATCGGGACGAATTTTTGGCCATCTCCTTGGAAGCCCCGGCCGGGCCTTCCGTTCTCAACATACCTCATCAGGGCTCTTTGTTATGAAAGACTTTCACCAACCAAACCCTGATCAGCCATCTTCAACCTCTCCCGACGACGCTACTCATGAGTAAACATCGAGGCAGATGTCCGATGATAGAATTCGAACACTTTGTCAGCTCTTGGGCTCTTAAGCCAGACTCTTGTAAATCATGCGAGTATCATTAGAGATCGTATCTGGAGACTTCTTTGCTCCTGAAAACGTGCCAAAGATTTGGGTCACCGCTTCGGAAACCGTTTCCACGAGAACGCTTCCTGATTAGAGAAGAAGATCCTGGCCGGAAGATCCTGTTTTCAGCCATGTGCCTTCCGCAAGTCATCGCCTTGCATGCGAAACCTCGGTCAACCAGAACTTAAGTAACAGCGCAATGCGCCAAGAAAATCCCACAACTAGACCTGAGAGCTTGCACTAAACTTTTTGCAGCGAACGTAATATGTATGCGGGAGTTCAAAGACGCGCTAACAGAATCAGCTTAGCAACGGAAAACCCTTGTTGATTGCTGGACAGGTCGAACGCGGCGTGAATCCGAAATCTGGCGTTTTTGAGACTGAAGCTAGATTGGCGGCCGCGCTTGTCACGGAAGGACGGGCGGAAGGAGGATAGTCGCGACTCTATTACCGACTCTGTTCGGACAGAAGCCCCACCATTTCACAACCTTTAGGAAGGACCGTAAGAGAATATTTATGCAACAGTAAGGCAGGCCATACGTAACGCATTGGGCTCCCCATGCAGTAAAAAGCGGACCCGAAAAGCAGGAGTATTTTCAGGGAAAGAAAACAAGCGGGAAAGGAATTCAAGAGCATTTCAAAAGCAGAAGCAACGCCGTGAACTTAAGGAGCAGCGCTTGGACGACACGTTCAGACGATCCGTCTGAACCTTAGGAATCGAAGGGGTATCATAATAATTTCACGATAGGCCACAGACCGATCTTTCTCCGCTGACAAGATATGCAACAAAAGGCAACGCCTTCGCCAAGGCGAACAAATCATCTAATGATTGAAAGAGCGCGTTCGACTTTCGTACTGACGTCCTTACGTTTTTTCGTGACTCGCCAACCTAAAGAAGCAAACGTGGGCAGACTGTACGGCCAGTGCAGGTACTATCAGCTAGTGTCGATTGTCGTCTTCAGGCCTTAGTTGGACCTAGTCGTTGAGCGCGGCTCAACCACGAGAAAATGTTCCTCATAGACTTTGACGGTGAAGATTCAGACGTTGGTTTGATGAGAAAACTACACCAATTGTGTTGAAGCATACCTCAGACCAAGCAGCCACAAAGACTCCTCATTCAAAGAGTTTGAGAATAGAAACAAGTCCATAGGGAGCAACCCACAAGAGCGTAGCTTTGGCGCTCTGCTTTCGTTGAAACTTCCGGTGACCAAAGGTGCTAAGTGTCACCATTACAACGCACTTTGCCGGGTCGTACGTTCTACTACTGTATGGCGTGCCGAATCCGCAATGGTTTGAAACTGAGAAGTGGCAAAATACAAATCTACGTAGCATGTTTGGTCAAAAGCAGGCAGAAGCTTGGTCATGTGGCTAACCCTTGGCCAGCCCGGGCCCCGGTTAAAAACGTAATTGGCGATGAACAGGTATATGTGTACGGGTGCGGGCTTTCTCGACTCAGATTTGATGTCTGTGACAATATCCGCAAGCAGGCATCAGACTGGGGGAGAGTCATGCTTGAGCAGGAGCCCAGTCCGCTTCTGTCGTCATTGCCGCCGGCCGTCCGTAAACGCTTTTCTAGAAAGGAAGTAGCTGGACGAACGTACCGTACTCGGACCTTCACGTCGTAAGAGCACCAGCGCGTTACGAACGCAACGTTTACACCCAAACATCTGCTTCCGTCTCTGCCGTCTCTGACCGCTTCACGTTTCAGTTTAAAGCAAACAATTCAAGTCTAGGAGAAGCGGGCGATCTCTCGAGACATCTCTAGTAGAGGAGATTGGAGAAACCCGGGTGATGGTTTCGAACTAGTGGCGTCGGATATACCGAATCCCACGGACCCGTGGCTTTTCGTCGCCGCTGTTCGTTTCGTCCCTGCCACCATCTTACCTTCGAGTACGTCTGAGCCACGAAAGGACACACAAAAAAAATGAAGTAAAATAAACGCGCCCACCAAAAATGGGCAACATGCATGCATACGTACACTATTTCCTTGATCAGTCAAAAATGACGGTGGCTAATCTATCGAACCAAATCCCGTCACGTCCAGAATCACGAACGCGAGAGATCGACGAGTGCCGTTACGGGAAGCAAAGCAGCGGGCCCCGCTTGGCCACATGCCGTGAGTCGCGCTGCGCAGGCTCGCCGCGGGCGGCAGGCTTCATCTCTCAATGCGCGCGCGCGAGCGGCAACCTGAGGAGTCCTGCCCTTAAACCACCACCGGGGGTATAACTTGGGGCAAACCGGCTGTCATTCTCGCCAACGGCCACCGGAATTCAAATTTCGGCCCGAAGGCGCATGCTTCCAACTTATGGAAATTTGAGCTTATAAATCCAAAAACAGAAGCATGACTTCGCTGTTTTCGGCGGTCTTTCTTTCTACGGCTCAAGTTTAGTCAATAGAGCGAGGCCAAGTCGAAACCGCCGCTCAAAACGGAAAGAAACGGCTTGTTTTTCTGCCGGCGGAGGACCTTGTTGTAAGTGTTGCGCCCAATGCGCCCGTCGCAATTTTCAAGTTGCGAAAGGTGATTATGGCAAAGCTGGTAACCAGCACTATTTATACCCCCGGTGGTGGTTTAACCACTATGTCAACCAATCCGCCCCTGCGCGCACCCGCGTAGCATCACACGGCTCGATCAGGCTGGCCGGCGGGCCGGCGGAGCGCCGCCTCCACTGGTCGCCGCGGGATCAGTCAGCACCGGCGCCGGCCGCGCGCATGAGTCTAGTAGGCGCCGCGCTCGTTTGTGTTCCGGGCTAGCTAAACCCACAACACTTGGTCCCCGCACTGTATGCGGCCGCACCACACGGCGGCGCGGCATGTCGTGGCCAGACGGAAACGGGGTGCTAATCTCCACCCCTGTCGTCTGCAAGGCCCCAACCGCAGCAGCGTCTAGCTGTTGTGGGGTGTTGCCTGCATCGTCTCGTCATAGCAAGTTGTCGAATAAGCACTCGTTGAAACTGGCATTCAGTGAGTTGACCACGCTGCAATGCTATTGTGCGCGCGCGCGCAATCCGAGCCACTTTGCGTGAGTTGAATCTGCATGAGCGGCTCTGCTCACCTTGGCCAAACGTACTGTGATATTGATCACTGGCGCCCGCGAGATTTTAATCCCAACTTGTTCCCAAATTGTGGGGTACTGAAAGTCCGGAGTCAACTATTAGTGATTCAAGCGCTTTTTCACGTGGATCACGTCCCGGGTTCGAGTTGCTCAGGGCATCCGCGCTGGGTTTCGATTACGCAGGCAGGTGGGCCAGAGCCCAAGCCCAATGCGCAGTCGTACGTCACTGCCGGTCAACAACGACGCTTCTCCCACAATTGAGAAAGCGCCAGCGCATCACTCTAACCACCATACAGACCCATGTCAGCACCGCAGCGTCGATAATCCGGGTTCAGTTTCGCCTCGTTGGCCAGTGACCAGCAGAGGCCCTCGTCTTTCTTACCATGTGCGTGATCGAGCTGGCAGTTGAAATCGGGGATGATGTGCGCGGCAATTATACGAGCAAATGATGACTACGACAAAATAAATCGGAAGCGCCCATGGATTCAAATCATGTGCACGCTACTGAGCAGCTTCGAAGAAAACGACAATTTACTTCGTGCGCGCAATCGTAGTTCGTAATAAAGCGTCTGACTTCACATGTGGCATGATGTTTACGAAGGTAGGATGCAGCCCTCTATTTCAGCCATGTAGAGGCGAAAGGGCATACATTTCTTCCTGCCAGGATGCCTCGGTACCGGCTCTTGATTTCTAATCTCCTCTGAAAAGGTCCAGCTGCCCGTTCGGGAAAGGGGGTCCGATGCATAACATCCTTCCGCGAGTTAGCAGAAAACCTAAGCTTACCGACGCGAGTCGGATCGTCTTTCCCAAAGCGTTTACGATTGTGCAAGTCAAATCCTTGAATTTCGAGCTAGCCCGTCTAGCTGGATCACGACCGTTCATTGCAAGCGACTCGGACTCTTCACAAGCAAGCGCAAGAAAACAAACAGCTACCACTTTAAGCCGCGCGCATGATCGAGAAGAGAACAATTCGCTCCGATACCAGACCAAAGTCCCCTAAAATTCTCTCGCAGAAAGGAGATATCAAGAGCCTGAGAGGGCGTCAGGGTTGGTGAGATGAAACACTGGCATGAGCAGAAGCCCAAATCCATGCACTCCCATCACTGCTTTTTGCTGCAGACGAACGCATCTAAGAAGATAGAGATCAAGGTGCCCCTGTATTGAAATACCCTCGGCTATATTCAGGGAGCAACTCATTACTTCGTTGATAGGCGTGGCAGTAAGGATGGAAATTATTATTCTAGAACTTTCTTTACGTATCTTTTGCAAGAGACTGAATCCACGAACTGATGACGCAACTGATGATAGCACTCGCTGATAGTTGACCTGTTACGAAGTGAAATTGAATGATGAGTTTGCACAACCGCAGCTGTTAGGCCGCGTGTACGTACGGGCGATCAACTTGCTTTGCGGCTTGCAATATGGCAGTCCGACGTTAGTGCGTCTGGGTTGAAGCCCAATGAGGTTCAAATGATCACGGCCACAATTGTCGTGAACCCCAAAAGAAACTCACGGAAGCGCGCGCCCGCGAGTCGCTCATATGTGTTTTCGATTAGGATCTGTCTGCATTGAGTCGCTCCGCACTATTTGCAAGCCCAGAAGCGTGAGTTGCATCATTCGTTTCTCGGAGGGCATCTCTGCGGACTTGACGCAAGTGCTTCTAGCGCGGCAAGAAGACATCAACAATTTATGGAAAGCCTCATACATTCCCTGCTCAGATCAGAGATAGACAGATCTTTTCAACAACGCTGAAGCGAGAGAGGTCCTTGTGTGTCTAAGTACCGCTACCATACCCCCTTCACAATTGAGGGATTGTGATCCGCAACGCTGCTCTGATCTTATGGGGGTCTTCTGACATATCACCTTTCCGCAGGTGTGCCCCGACAGTGTCCCGTCATCTTCCCTTCTTCCCTGTACAATCAAAACGGCGTTGAGAGCAGCCTGACCCGCCCATGGTTCGCCCTTGAAGATATGTTCGAGTCATTTGCCAAGGGCCGCCTGATTCTTGCCCTCGTCAAGGAGATGCGGGCACCTGTAAGTTGTTGGCCCGTTGCAATCGAGGAGGTCCTGTGAATGTCTCCTTCCCCTTCCGGCACAGGCTAATGCCTTGTTCACATGTGGTCAGGTTTGCTGGTTTTCGCCGGTTCTGTCCTACGTGGCAGCGTGGAGGCATGTGAACCCGCCAAAACCGAGCTCGGGTTTGGTGGGCTTTGCTGGTCGGAGAAAACCGGCGAAAACCAGATGAAAACTCGACCGAAATTTTGAGCCGGGTTTTGGTGGTTTACGCCGGTTTGGTAGTGCTGGTTTTCCTACCGGGCAATATTTGCCCGTGGAACTTGTCCGGCGACGATCGGCAAAAACTTGAAGTCGAGTCTACCCGACAGCCGACCCGAGCAATATGTGAACGCAAGCCTCCGGTCGAGTTTTGAAGCCTCCAAAACTAGCTTCATCGGGTTTGGGAGGGGGAAGCTTTTTAGGTCGCTGATTTTTGCTGGTTATTGCCGATTTTGCTGGTTTTGGTGGACACATGTGAACACAGCATAAAAGAGATTCAAGCCTTGGAGTGCGCTAACGATTGTCTGGTGAAAACCGCTGTATGGAAAGCAAAGGGTAATACTCGTGCTTTCTGGAGTGTTTGAATCCTCACCGTTTCTGAGAAACGCTTTGATATGCTTTCAGGAAATCGTTCCACTCTAAGAAAGTCATTACCATCTGTGTTTTCGGACTGAAAGTGCTCTTCAAGCGTATGCTTGTCTGACCTCAACAGCTTAAAGTCGGCATCCTTTCTGTTGCTTCAGTGCACGGGATAGTGCGTTTCACACGTTGAAGCTTCTCTCATACAACCCCAAACTTGTTTTTTCGGTTAGAGTGGTTCACTCTTTTGCCATCTTTGCGTAGGAGGGCACCGGGTTGCCGGTGCTCGTCTGGGCTGGCGTCGTCATAGACGAACCCTGGCAAGTGAGCGTTGCGTTTAGGCAAGCAACGACAGCGGAGCGTTCACTCTGCACGATGCCCGCAGTAGGAGAGCCTTGCGTTGACGTGGACGATAACAACACGACAGGTGCGTGCTTGTCTCTTGGAGAAAGGACTCCAGATGGTCTATCGAAGCTTACAGGAAAAGGCGCTGTTCGCTTCGATATAAGAACGTGAATCTCTCTTGCTCTCAAAAGTGCGTGTCCTGCTTAAAATAAAGAGTCGTTGCTTATCAGCAGCCGTGAGCAGCAAATTTTGGGACGTCAGATGTCGAGCGCACCGGCTTCCGTGAGTATCCGTTTCTCCTCAAGCTTGTTCCAGGGCAGAGGTCCAACTTCTGCGGCTTGCACAAGAATCGAGGCTCGCGAGCACTTCCAACATGTCAGCTCGAATTCTGGTGAAACGGAAGTTGTTATGCGCTGGCGTCCGTTTCAAAAGCTGGTTTAATCCTTGACATGCCCTCTGCAAGGACAAAAGCCTGGTCGTTCCGGATCAAGACCATTCATTGAGCCAGACTAGCGCACCTGGAAATGGGGCTGCTTTGCAGCAGGCAGATTGTCTATCTCAGATCTAGCCAGTCACAATCAGACTGGTTGCTTCTCGCCATGACTTTCGTTCTCTTTCAGAGCTCAGGGCTCACAGCTTGCATCGTTTTCCTTGCTTGCCTACAGGCTCCGCTCACAGAACTCTTGGGCCAATCGTTCAGCTGGAGCAGGTCCGAGTGCTCGTGAGAAGCAACGAGCTGATTATTGACGAGGCAGACATCGTCCGGGGGAAAGACTGCGGTGAGTCGATTCGAGAACCTGAGTGTTCGCCCATGTTCTGTCCGAAAGAATGGATCAGATGATGGGAGACAGTGGAACCATCAAGGGTGATACGGGTCAATATCGGACCGGTCGCTTCTCAGACGAGTCTTTTCACAGAATGAAGTACGCTCTACTTTCAGAGTTCACTGAATATGAAGGCGGCATCCATATGCCAAAGCTGAGCATTTTCTCGGCTCTGTTCAAACCAAGGCCAGACTTTTGAGGGAACGGAAGCCTTATGTGTTTCTCTGCTGTAAGCAGGTAGCCATGGCGAGCTGATGGGGCTGTTCGAATCGTGGAGAGAATATCTGCGACAATGTACTCCTGAGCCCCTTCTTTCAAAGGGTTGCTTGCGTTACATCTTTGAGTCAAGGGCCGGCGCTGATATGCACGGAGCCTCCTATTTGTGAGGCGTTTTCTAATCAAATCCAGAAAGGTTGATCTTAAAAATGCATATTGTAATCATGAACGCATAGGCTGACGGTATTCTGAGTTCCAACAAGCACCGTCCTTGCTTTTGTCAATTCCTGAATTCCTACCTCTTAATTTGTCCCCTGAACAAGCACTTTGACCGGGCCGGAAATCGACTAGCTGCCTCGTTCTTCTACACTTCCAGCACTTGCAGGCACTTGCAGCACTTGCAGGCACTTGCACGTGTTTGTCAGCCCTTTCAATCGGAATGGTTGTCATCGAAAGCTCAATCTTGGAAAAGTGACCAACCGTTGTTGAGAAATGACCTCAGCGCACTTTCCTTTGCAGGGCCAGCAGTGTCGGCCAACGTCTCGCTTGGCAACGGCCCCTCAATCGAGCTGCCTGTTCAGTCCCCTTGCTGATATTTTGCATCTTTAACAACGCTCGAGGGTCCCTCTTGGAACATAAGCTCTAAGTCAATCCTTTGTGTAGGAAGAACCAGGCATTAGGCCGGGTATTTATGTACATATTGTGTATATTGTGTAAACACCCGATCAATGCATATTAAACATACACACGAAGAGCCCGAATCATCATGGGCCATCATCATTCGCTTCTTGATGCACAGCTAGTGTAGGCTCGAATACTATGTCTAGACTAAGCTTCTCGTGTGTGCAATTGATTGAGATCTTGTACGCTCATGCACCAGCACGTACATGTTCATGCATGGCAGCAAACTGTGACGTAGAAAGTAATTGAAGTTTCAAAGGTATCGACCACTCACAGTACGACGTGGTCGACTTTAAAGGCTTGAGCGCTTGAGGTAAAATTACACGACTCGATTCTATAATACATATAGCACAATGAAGCGGTTATATTTGGCGGGGGCGGCATTGCATGTGTCTTGATGCCAATCACGCGTGCAGTTCTAAATATATGTTTCCTCACTATCAGTGAATCGCAATGATAGGCTGGCCCACATGCAAATATATAAGGGATATCGCGACCCGGCGAAGCCTGCAGACTCGACCCGTTCTTTTTTTTAGTGCTCTTGTATATGATGCGCGCGGCCGGTGTTTGTTGAGCGGCTAGCTGTGCATGCAACCTGGCGGTGTGCCAATTTTGGCGTGACCGGTGCCAGGGTCCATCATCATCGAATATACGCAAATTTAAAGGCCGTACGTGCCTATATCTGGTAGCCAGCGCTAATTGTTGTTGCTCAAATCAATGATGAATCATGGCGTTAAGCGTATTTCAACGAATTTTGTCGATCCGATCAGAGGCCGCGGTATAATCGGCGCACGATTATGGTACCTCGGACTGCCAGCGCTGCCGCAGGGATCATTAGAGTACCGCACACGTGCTCAGCTGCATGGTTTTGCAGAGACTCTACCGTCAATCTTAATCAATGAGTCACTAAAACTTAACCGGCGTTGCATGACATATCTCACATGCATGCACCTATTTCTGCGCAGTATGTCCGCGGGCAAAGCCTGTGGCTGCACGCCGCGTGTCACCTAGACTTATAGATGCGCAACCGTGGGACTTCCGCACAGGGCGGGACTCAGTATTCAGAGAGCAGATTCAATCCTGTCTTCGGGCCAAGCTTGCACCGACATTCGGCCATACTAGTCTGCCTGGCAATCGAGGCTTCACGTGTGCGGTCGCCGGCGACCATACACTGCATCATGGCATGGGCCCGGCCATGCGCCGCGGCGGCCATGATGCATATTTGAGGGCTTGCCAATTGAGTAGCGGCCACAAAACCACAGATTGATACAATTCACGACAGCATTCTGACTTAGATACCCCCAGAGTTCCCTCAACATTGCTACATAAACCCCCCTCAATGCAAACGTAGTGAGTGTGTAGCTAGGGCGTGGCTTCAACGCCATGGCCTGCGCTCGATCAGGCTAGCAGGCCTGCTTAAGCACGGCGACTGCACAAACATCCTTGGTGACTCGCTTAAGTTTCGACGGCGCAGAGAGCCTTGCCAGTGGCGCCAGCACTTGCGTCCTCATAAAGCCATTGGAGCCCAGCGCCTATGATATTTGATCACCGGCATCGCAGCCTTACCTTGTGACAACATCGTTGCATGCAGGGTGGTTCAAAATTTGAACACGTTGAGCATTTTGGGCTACATATGTATAGTGTTCTTCCACTTCCTGCATTCGAGCATCCTTCAATCGGCAGAGCGGGGCTCGTTGGACCACAAAAAGCCTGATTGAGCAAGGAATGTTGTGGGCCCCGGGAAGCTACCATGTTCACTGTTCAGAATCCTGGTCAGTCCGCAGCTTAGTCCTCCTCACAAATCGAGAAGGCACTCACGGCATGGAGGGACGTTTAACGTTTGTCAAAAGTTGCACCACGGAAGACCGTACTGGACGGGTGTCTTCTGCACCTGAGCATACCCACGATGCGTTTTACGCTACAACAAATGCTTTCACCCTGCGAGCCAGCCGGCTTTCTGGCACAATTTATGGAAGCAACAGCGGGGGCCGCTTCGGTAAGACCGGCTTCTTCGCTATCCTGCAGGCAAATCAGAATTATCACATCAGACGTTGTCGAGTACAGCAACTTTACCAATGTTTTGCTGGCAACCAAAGTCGATTTGCCTAGGCCCCCTGATCGCACGTTGCGTTAACCGACGGGCTCGGATGCTTGTTTATGAGCATCCACAAAGTGCGCTCATTTAACATCCACAAAATGAAAATGACTCCGTCCGAGTTCCTTAATGTGCGCGCAAGCCGGGCGTCCAAACATCAATTCCGTTTCATTGACCTGAGGCCACTTCAAACCAGACTCAAAATCCCCTCCCGCCAGGTTCCACTCGATCATATTTCATTGAAAAAGCTTGAGCAGGTTGACCACGGAAAAGCCTACACCAGCGGCTATGTGCATATGTGTAACACCGACTTTCTAAACTATCTTCATCTGCCCAATATCCACAATTTATACCGGATTTAACGCCTGACGACGCGAAACCAGATCCTGATAGAAGGGACTGGGTCCGCCCACGTTAGATTTTAAGATCCATTCTGACCTCTGCCGCAACTAGAAGAGAATGTTCGAATGGGCATTGAGTTCGCCATGATGATGATGCCCTCGCTGACGGCCTCAAACGATCCGTCAGATTATACACGACGGAACAAGATAAAAGAGATCTCGCTTGAAACTAAGGAGTCTTTTGGTTGCGTATAGACTTCGCGAAAACGCACCTTTGGCCGCAGCGTAAGAGCCTTATAGGCATCGGAATGCCCATGCATTCGCTGACGCCATCCTATCGACCCAATGCTTCAAAGCAGGCCCACCAAACCTCAACCGACAAACCTTGAAATCTTAGATGTGTTTGGGACTGTTCAAACAACCCACCTTTGCCGCAGCTTGAACAGTCCGGTCCCGATGGGCATGGGGATCCCCATGATGATGCACTCGCTGACGCCCTCGATCTGGTCCGTCCGCCCGTGAATCGCCGCGTCGAACAAATGGTCCGTCGTTTTCTCAAAGGAGGCGAGCATGAGCACCGAGTCCTTCATCTTGGCGATGCCGAACCGGGTGATGCCCAGGATCTCGCCCTGCAAATAGAAGGATATGACGTGTCAAGAGTGCTCCTTATCGAAAGAAAGGGCTTTGAGTATTCAAAGAACAGGAACTGGCACTGGTTCTTCATCTCAGATAGGGTGCCAAGTGTTTCGAGCGATCCATATAGCGCGCTCCACCCAATCTGCTTCAGGCAAAAGATTCAACATTTTCGGGGGTGCTCCAGGCGCAGTCGAAAACGTCGCCTTCTTACGTTTGGTGTCAAATGAATAGCTTTGAAAGACGCTATCAAGCGCTTCTTGCAGTAAACCTGCCTGTTTTGAAGACAACTTCGCTGATGGGTTTCAAGGTACAGCTGACCAAGCTGTCTCCTCACTTGGGCACATGTGACCCTAACTTCCGCAGAGGTGAAGCATTCTCACGGCTGAAAGCGAGCCGCTTCCACAACGATCACAGTACAGCCCCGCTACCCAACCCATAATCACCAACTCTCCCGTGACCTCACCTTGTACGTCATGACGTCAGCCAGGAGCATCATGTGCCGCAGGTCGATCGTCATCCCGTGGCTGCCCATCGTGTACTCGATCTCGCGCATGATCGCCGTGCGCGCCGCCTCGATCCCGAGCGTGTGTTCCACTTCGATGATGTGGTTGCTCCGCGTTTCTAAGCCGTCCACGCCTTCTATGCCCATAACCGCGGCGAGGTTTGTGCCTTCGACGAGCAGGTTGTAGGACCGGACGCCGTCCTTGGAGGTGTCGTTGATCACGGCGCGATCGACGGTGGGGATGCCCTGCGGGAAGAAACTAGAATTAATACCCGCTTTGGAAAACTAGACCGCAGGGGACAGAAGGAAATGGTCGTTCCAGGGCGGTGAGGGGATCCTGCGGAGAAGGCAATTGTTTGGTGACGACCCCTGATTACAGCGAGGTTATGTTCAGGATGCTTCGCACCGACAGCGATGTAGAAGAGTAGACCTGAAAACAAAAAAGACAGTCAAACGAAAAAACAGAGGGACTCAAGACGATGATAGGAAAGGTAGAGATTGCGAGTGACCCCGGTCAGGAGGCTGTAAGAACAAAGCGGTCGTTGATCCCAGCACGATTAACGACTTCATTGCTTCATGCGGGTTTTCGAGGCAGCTGATTATAAGGAGTCAGTCACGAGGACGCACAAAGGTCGACAGATCTTTCCGTGCCGCGTTCAGAGTTGAACGTTCCCGACGGACCATAATGGAAGGCTGAAATTGCGGAGTAATACCAGAAAAGCGAAGGCTCAAGCTGATGTTCTGCTGCGGTTGGAAACATATGAGGGTGGATACCTGCTGAGGGTAGATTCAATTCTTGATTAACTGAGTAGGGAGCGCTCCAGGTAAACGCGCATCTTCAACTTGCATACGAACCAAGGCCACCTCCTAACCCAACCCGCACAATACGGGAAAACATCAAGCTTTGCTGATCCTTTCACTTCTACAACCATCAAATTATCATTTGCCAAACAACGATCGTGCCAAAATTAGAAACTCTTCACACTGAAGCTCTAAAGGACAGAAGTCTTTGCAGGTGCTGTTCAGCAGTCACTTCATTGAGCGTAGCCTGACCAAAGCCTGGTGAACCTTCCGCTAAGTCGCCAGAAGAAGAGATGTTCTGCATCTACGTGAGCAAGACGCAAGACCGTAAGTGGCGTCAGACCAAAATGGCTTTCTTTCCTCGAAAGACGGGAAACGCCTCGTCATTGCCAGACCCATAAAAAAGTCCACCAGGCCATCTTGAAACGAGGCGCCACCACGTCACCACATTCACTGTTGCGCTCCGTCGTCCGAATCCGGAAACGACACCAAAAGTTGTGTTCCTCAAGAATTGAAAAGTATTGCAGCTGCTCCGATCGTCTTGGCACGTAGGGCAGAATCCAGCCCTGACTAATCAGCTCGACGAAGAGTCTCCTGGTTCTAATCCACAACCCTTCGTAGTCAAGTCCTGTTTGATCAAGAGCAGGTACACGAGGCACCAACAATGGATGACGCTCGAAGATGGCCATCAGGCTCTACACATCGACAGCATTTCAGCCATGCAAACCGAAAATGAGCCCATCATTACCACTTGCATTTAAAGCGCTAAGAAAGACATTCCGACTATCTTTGCGGATCGTCAGAGTCCGATTGGAATTGAAAAACTTAACATCTTGCGTCAGAATCACACCCCGCCTTGATTGTTACCCCTTTGAACGGCAGCCGGAAATTGTATGCTGATCACCATCAATAAGAAAACGGGGACGACCAAGGCGGAGTCCAAAGACGGCAACAAATGTCCGTCTTCGGGCCGCCCTCACGCTCAATCTAGAATGGCCTTTTGGACAAGAGAGGGGGCAACAAAGCAAGTTTTTTCCGGAGCCAGAGCAAGAAATGCGTCTTCCATGCTCCCGAATGTGAGCCAAACTCCAATGCAGACCACCATGCCCATGTTTCGAAAACAAAAATCCTCGTAGTCGTGAAGCACATTCACCCGCAACCTGAGTAATTTGCAAATGAAAGCGGACACATGTGCACCAAAAGCGAACATGCAAATCACCAGGATGGCCATCAGGCAGGAACTCTTGGACATGCCGCCTATGGCAATCTAAGCTAGCCCATCATTGCCAATGGCAACCAAAGCGTACACAAAGACGTTCCGACTATCTTCACGACACATCAAAGTCTGATTGGGAAAGAAACACATGGTGTTCCAGATCAATATCCCATCCCGCCTTCAATTATCCCCCTGGCCAGAAGCGCATGCTAACCACTGTTGACCGAGAAAGGGGGACAGGCAAGGCAAAGTCATGGAAAGGTGAGGGTCGTCCGTGTTCAACCCGTCCTCAGGCTTATCCTAGAACGGGCTTTGAATTACTTTAGTGACAATGAAACTGGATTTTTTAGAGAACTATAAAAGCATCGTAAAGAGCTTTATACAGAACCCACAATAAGCATCGCGTCTACTCGTAATGCTGCCGCATCTGAAGCAGATTCCAAAGCTGAACGCAGTGCACTTGGTCAAAGAACGAAATTCAAGTACTCGTGAGCAATTTCGCCGCAACCTCGTGCTGTGCGAATAAAAGTGAGCACTTGGGACACACCAAGAACGGGTACAAAAGTTACAGATGACCCTCAGGCTCTCGTCCTGGACATGGCGACTTTGGCCATCTTAGCCAGCCCATCATTGCCACTGCCTATAGAAGCGCTAACAAAGACGTCTTTTTTGAATTCATGAATCGTCAAAATCCTTCTGAAGAGGACTCCCGTGTCAAACCTCAATCCGCCTTGGCTGTCGATCATCCCTTTGACCGACAGCCGGAATTTGCATGCTTGTCACCGTCGATTCAAAGAACGAGCCGGCGAAGTCGAGAAAGAGCAACAGTAGTCCACAGACCTTCCTCGGACACGATAGACTGGGGCTTGACAAAGTTAGGGTAATGCAACCAAAGAGTTCTGCATGAGAGTCCTTTGTGGAAGTACGAAGAGTGTCGGAGCTGCTCCAGATGCTGCACCATGCGAAAGAAAGTCCAGCGCTGACCCCGCTGGGTTGACCAGAAACCTTATTTCAATGAAGCAGATTCGCTCGCAAGCCACTGCTTTGAAGAAAAGCAAAGACACGTGGCACCCAGGAACGGGTATGTGAGCTACAAGATGGCCATCAAGGTCCCCGGATCTTGACGTTAGCCTCACCGGTCATCTGAGCGAGCCCATCATTGCCACCGGCTCTCAGTGCGTGACGACAAGGTCCTGACCGTTTCATAAAGTAGATAGTCAAAGTCCGGAGTTGGAGAACATCAACCGTCCAAACAGTTTTGCCCCACCTGGGCTATTGGCCTTCAATCGGCGGCCGAAAAGTGCTGGATGCACGCTCTGATTTGATTAATAACACTAACGTGCTTGCGCCAACCACGAGTCGGTCGTGCCTTCACTTAATGAAACGCTCCAAACAAGCAAAAAGTCAGCGCCTCACAGCATTAAATCGAAGGAGGACCGCATAGGAGAAACTGTTCGCCGAAGTGCCGATGGTCGGCAACAAAGATCCTTCGGGAAAATAAATCCGGAAACAACGAGGGGTGCACTTTTCGATGCCCGAGATGTCAAAAACGGTAAGAGGACTTGTAATCCGGGTAAGTCGTGCTTCAGGCGCTCTCAACAAATCGTGAGATGACGACGCTAGGACTGTCTGCTTGCGGCATCAGGCTCACCCAGTGATGGCACTTCTGGCCCCCGGACCACTTTTTCGAGAATTCATCGCCGCAGCATACAAGGGCCAAGTAGACTTTCCCAATGAGGTAGCTCCGAGGTTGTGAAAATTTATCACACATGCACAAAGCTCGTGGCATCGGCCCGACGACGGTACCCATGTTGATTTTTAACATGAGGTCAAAAACAGGGGGTGTTCATGGCCATAATAAAAAGAATCTAGAAAGAGCACTCAGACTTGGACCGCTCTACATCCGTACTACTTAAAGATGATTGCTTGTGGCCCGCCTGCCAACCGAACACACGACTCCGACCTTCAGAAGGAAAGAAAGGCGTAATTACCAGCACTGCTTGCGGAGTCTTCTCAGAGTAACCGACAATGAACGCCATCGTTGTCTCACGATTATCCACTGCTTACGTGTTTGCTTGGGGGATCCGGCTAGCCTCCAAGAACGGCAATCGAAAGCAGGCCAGACAAGAACGATGTTAAATCCTGAATCCACGCGGCTGCTTAATCCTGTTTCTTGTGGCGTCTGCTGACAAACATCGAACGCTGATCATGACCTTCCAAGGCAAGTCAAGAACAGGCAATCTTCACGGCCACTAATTTACAATTCTTACCTCAGCTTCCAATATTATAAGCGAATGCATCTACTTCTTCGCATGTGACGATGACGAAAAGCTTCCTTCCCAAATTGAGAAACAACAGCCAGTCAATACGGCTTAGTGGAAATGTCCCCTTTGGCTGACCAAGGAGAAACACATTCAAGTCTCCTGAGGGCGTTCAAAAAAGTCACGGATTGCTCGACCTCTGCAACCGCGGTTGAGAGCGGACGTTTTAAGAAGCGATTGCCGTAAATATTCCTTATGGGAAAGCATAGTGGAAGGCGTTGAATTTGTCGTAGCGGGTGGGAAAGCCAATCTGTTGGGCATTCAGAAGGTCGCTCAGCAAAGCTGACCCTAAAAATGAAGGTGAAAAGCAGACGGTTCGCACAGGGCACGCTTGTGGGAAAATCTCAAACAACTTCGCTTAGACGTTCTGAACATTCTCAAATTTCTTCATACTCGTCTATCAAGTCCTTCGCACGTGGCATTCAAACTCTCCCGCACATCATGACCTCCGACTTCAAGGTCAATGAACGACGATCATCACGGCCACGAAGGGCTCGACACAACCACAACAAACGTCACCAAACTCAACACTTTCAAAGATGCGTACACAGATTGGCATCTGGAACACCCCAGCAACGCTTGGAAGCGCAATCCCGCCCCAGACGGCGGTCATCATTGCCCCGACTTCCGAAACCTTTACAAAGAAAGCCGTACTGATCAGTCTAACTCTTCCGTTATCCAATAAACGCAGTAGTCTGCTTGTGGCAGTCGGCTCGCATTCCACGAGACATGACTTCTGAGTCAGGAAAACAGGGTCTTCATAGCCACAGGTTGCAGGCATATTATTCGCAATCTTGACGGCTCCAAGCAAATGTCCTTGGGTGCTTCGAATAGAACGACGAGGCATGTAGAAGCAGACCAAGGCACGAGCGATTCACAAGCGACGAATAAGCACGGCCTTCAGCTCATTGAGGTCTTTGACTTCAGCCCTCGGAAAGCTTTTCTGCATTTGCGAGTCAATCTTGTAAGACTCCTCAACGTACCCTCGCTTTCGGATCGGTGGCCCCAGGTTTCTGACCGGCTCGGTATGCATGTACACGAAAAGACCGTGCACACGATTTGGAACGGACAAGGACACCGAGAGACTTCCAGTGAACCAGTCGAAACAGAATCGAAGAACACAGTCATTACAAACTCATCGTTACCCTTATTGCCACTTGTAAGGGCGTGCGAAGGAAAGGACTGATGAACGATTGGGCTGCACTTGGGCAGATCCGCTTCAAAATTCAACATCCACATTTCAAGAACAAAAGGACCTAAGTAAGCTGGAAGTAATCTGTCAGGCAGCTCTCTCACCTTGACGATGACCCTAGGCAGTGCGTTGCGCAACGACTGCAGCGCAAAGAACATCTTGCCCCGGTCCTGGTCGGGCGGGAAGACAATCAGCTTGTTGCGCCGGATCACGCGGATGTGCGAGTGCTTGATCTTCATCTTGGGGGCGTTAACAATCGAGTCCCCAACCGTTATCGCGTCGATGCCCAGCTGGAGGGACTGGATGCGGTCCATGTCGAGTCGGACGGAGATGAAGGCGCGGCCCGGCTCGAGGACGGTTTGGATGTGATCCGCCACCTGGGAGCAAAGCGCCGGAATTGGGTGGATAGACTCATGCTTCTAAGTTTGCTGTCGGTCGTCCAGGAGGATTTAGCCTTACGAGGTGGTCCTTGCAGATTCACACGGGATTTCACGTGCCCCATGCTACTCGGGTTGGGACAAGGGCGAGACAACGCTTTTCTTCTCATCGGGCCGGACACGAGTTTCAACTCACACGGCCCTGTCTCTTTGTAGATCTTTTTACTGAATTTAAAAAGATAAAGAGACGGGAGTTTAATATTTATACAAGTGACAAAAGTTTTGCGTTTCAGAGCATAGGAGAGCTATAGAAACCTCGACAAAAATCGTACCGCCGTCGTTCCATTTCTCGATCACAAGACCTGTTTCAGGGTCAGGTGGACTATTCTCCTAAATACTTCGGCTGACTTAAATCGAAACGCATTTTTCTTTGCTGCCGTCCAGGCAACGCGAGGGCCAGAATCTAAGTGAGTCGACAAAACGTCAACATACTCAACTCTGAGGCACCCAAGCAGGGTTGCAGACTACGTTTCACGGAGCTTCTGGGTATGAGACCTCTCAATTGTGACTGTTGAAGGATGGCCCCGTCAAGGAACGGCTTCTCACGCAGACGTCCTGACCGCAATCAAGACAACCCGAAAGCGAGTCAGGACGGGACTCGGAACCTACCTCTCCAAGCGTCGTCTTCTCTATCCGGCCCTTGACAATGCGTGCCGCCTTGAGGTCGTGCTCGGACACTAGCTTGACGGTGATGATTGGCGTGCTGATGTTCTTGGAGGCGTTGATGATCTCTTTGATGCGCGGGACTCCCAGCGTGATGTCTGCAGGAGTTTACTGGGTGTTAAAATCCTTCATTGCAGTTAGTAAAATTCGAACGCAACACCTTCGCGATCAGCACAGCGATCTCAAAGAATCCTTCTTGCTAAGCAGCCAATGTCCTTCAATGTTACCAGGTCTAACCAGAAGTGCCGGGTCAACGGTCAACATCGTCTTGAACATTACGCACGTGTAGACACCCGCCCGCTATACCGATTGTGCAGGCCGATATCTCCGGTCTGAAACACCTTAAGAAGCCACTGTGTTGCCTACAAGACCTGTTAGAAAGTGCTCGAAACGGGATTCAAAACCTCGACGAAATCGTCTCTGCTATAGCTAAGCCGCCTGATCGATGTTGAATAGCTGAAAGCAAAGCAAGGAGAGATAGCACGAATTGGAGGGGAAGTCTGGGAATACACTCACTCATACTAGCGACACCAGCGAAATGGAACGTTTTGAGCGTCATTTGCGTCCCGGGCTCTCCTATACTCTGGGCCCCAACTGCCCCCACTGCACTGCCTGGTTCTATCCGCTTCTGATGGTACCTGCAGCCGTTGAAGAATGATGATCAGTACTCGGAGAGTCCCGTCGCCCATTTGGCTTATCAGCGATTCGTACCCTGGTCTTGGGCTGATGCACGTGCAGCGGTGCAAATGTCACATAATCTCTCTTATTGAGGCTATCGCTCCCACGACGTCGACGTCACATCTTGAGGTTTTTCGGAACCAGCAAAATACGGCGAACTGAGAGAGCAGAGAACGTAGATTGGACTCAAAGATGATTGGCATCAAGGCAGCAGTTCCTTTTCGTTTCGGTTTGGTAGTTCATCAAAACCACAACCGCTCTTCGACGAGCCTACGATCAGTCAGCGGAACGTATGACATCCCAACCCCCAAAGTCCAGACCCTTGTCAGAATATCTGGCGCAGCCCTTCGAAGCAACATAACCGTCCACAAGAAACGGGTGGATACCCGTTCAGAAAAACGAGCGCTGGTTCTCGAGAGATGATCGAACTGACCTAGATATACACGTGTCCAAGAAGATCTCCAGTTGGCGCGCCGTCCAGCCCCGTATGCTCGCCGCCGCTCGTTCCGGCGCGGACCCTTCTTCCCCTGGTTCCGTTTTGTCGGTCAGTCCTAACCGCTTCCGGGTTTCCCTAACCGCGTCCGATTCGCCCTTGAGGAATTTCGCCAGGCTCCGGTTAAAGAGCTCCGAGCACCCGCTGGCGGTCGAAGCGTCTTCTTGGGAGAGGCGGTTCTGGACGAATTCGTCCATTTCGGACGGAGTCAGCACGGGCCGGCCCTGGAGCGGACTCTGGGCCTGCACAATAATGGTTCGTTCGGATTTAAGCATGAAAGTCGGAAGAAAATTTGGAAGGAATAGGAACGAAGTCCCCAATTCAAAAATCTTGAGAGAGGCGGTTACGGACGATATCGTCCATTTCGGACGGGATAAGGACGGGCCGGCCCTGAATTGGACACTAGGCCTGCAAAAAGTTGGGCCGAACGTGACCGGAGTGCACTGGCTGAGGTTGACATAGAACCATGGGTTTGATCGTGTTGTCTTTTCCCTGGAGAGGCGCTGTCGGACGATGTCGTCCGTTTACGACAAGGTGAAGACAGGCGGACCCTGAATCAAACATAAGGCATGCAAACGAATTGGACGGTTGGAATTCAAGCGCGGAGATCGACTTGAGAGGCAATGTCTCGACGCCAAAGTTTTCAATGGAAGCGTCTTCTTGAGAGAGGCGGTCTTGATGATCTCATCCATTTCGGAAGGGGTCAGGACGGGCCGGCCCTGAAACGGAGACTGGGCCTGCAGGGGATCGGACGGTCAAGAAAGCACCAAAATGAGAGAGGGCCTGAAATGAGGCCGAGTTTCTCGGTCTGAAGCGCCTGCTTGGGCGAGGCTGTTCTGGACGTTCTCGTGCATCTCTTACGGGATCGCAAAGAGCCAGCTCCCAAGCGAGTTCTTGGAGAGGGTCCCTCGGAGACAATATCGTCCTTTTCGGACGGCTCGTTACAACCTGGGTTTTCGTGGCCAGACCAAAACCCAGCCCACAAAGACCGTGGAATGCTTGAAAAGCATTGGAAGGGTCCACCTTCCAGAAGGTAAGCTGAAGCGGCCGCCCTGGATCTGCCCCTCTGCATTTACTCACAGATTTTCCAATCAACGACTTCCAGCGTAGTGAGCCCGCCAGATATTCCACGTACCTTTGTTTTCATCATTACGCGAGTAAGGTCCACGGGCTGCCCGTCTTTCGCCTCCATGCAGACGGGGTCCATGCCGTCGTCTCCGTACTTGAGCTGCACGATGCCCCCGCTGGAGTTGCGTACAGTCCCATCGTACATCGTCGAGAGGTCCTCCAGCGACTGCGCAAGGCAAACAGTGATTCTTTAGATTTGTTTGATAAAGGGAACGACTCAGCTGACAGAGGGCGGATCGTACAGGTTGAAATGGAACCTCTGAATATCCACACTTGACCCGATAGTGGTTAAGAGATCATGAGGAGGCGAGCTGCGCTCTCCGCTTCTTAATATCAAACATCTGAGAACTTTCTGTTGTTCTGGACAGAAGTTGAAAGAACAGTGGAATCAAAGAGGGAATAACGATGTCTCAGCTATCTTCCAAAGAAATCGAATATACATATATTGAGGGGCGTGACCAACTGCATAAGAAGTTTAGTGACATGGCCAGCGAGGTGTGCTGAAATGGGACATATTAGCAAGCGGTACTTTGCAGGTCATAAAGTTCGTCGGTAGCCCCGGAAAAGTTAGTTTAAGAAAGGTCAACAAGTCAAAGCGCCATATGCGCGACTCAAGGGGCACCAAGATGGAGACAGAAGAAGAATCACATAACCTCTCAAGGGCCCAATTTTGCACCGCAACAGGATAGCAGGCACAATCTTGACTTATTCTTCTGAGTCTGCAACTCAAGTTGAAAATGACTAAGCGAAGGGGAACGCCAATCAAATACAACAACCAAACTTTTCAAGACAATCTCTTCGTCTCCCTGTCGACGACCGTATCCTGGTAGCGTGTGGACTAAGACACAAATTCAGCAGTTTCGATTCGTTTCTCATTGACCTGCTCCACGCATGTGGAACCTACTTGGCTTCAATTGACGCACTAAGAACGACGCATCACAGTCCAGGAAAAACATTTAAGGTTGTCTCAAAAAGTAGAAATAGATGCCTGAAATGGGCACATCAGGCGTTTTCCCATCTTTGACAACCCAAAGTTTGAGGTGACGACACGAGAACACTGGACGGCTGCGGGACGTACAATGCCCTTCTGGAAATTCTCGACTTGCAAACTCCACTCCAAGCGCTTTGGGTGTGTACGCATCCAGATTTGCAGCTTCTTGGGAAATGGTAGCATGGCGGCATCAAATACTGCAATTCTTGCAATGCGTGGGACTCGGCCGTGGCGCCCACATCACTTGACTTCATTGCCACGCAAGCTTTCGTCTCCTCAAACTCATATATACGGTCGTAGAAAAGCATTCCCAGAGAACGTCAATAATGTTGCATAACCAATGCTGTGTTGCAGCTATGCGGTGCGCTCGAGCTCTCAACGATCCCCACACCAAATGTCAAATCACCACTCCAAGATTTGTAAGGCAACATTCTGCACGCTGTACTCTGTCCTTGAGCAGAGGAAAGCACAGACAGGTCATATATGAACACCTCTTTGGCGCCACAACAGTCTCCGCACCTCCGGCTCTGATGTCCACATTCAGCCAATAGGAAGCGAACCGCAAAATATCCGCGCAGGGCCTCTGATTGGGCAATCCAACCGTACGAAGTGTCTTGGAAAGGCATTTGCAAGACAAACGGACACCAATGGCATGCAAAAGCCTGCGACTTCTGCAGGATTCAGCAGAAAAGACAGAAAATACCAGTAATAGCCGACAGAAAGAGTTGACCTGTGAAGATCAATGAAGATCAAGGCACAGATCAAAAGAAGCTTATCAGGTTCCTCGAGATACAAACAAAAGCACCACGGTCGTCGTACGCAAGATTTTTTTTCCGGGCGAAGAGACGAGGCGTCCGTGCAAATTGCAAGAATGAGCTGTGCCCATAGTAAGATGACGTCCTCGCCTGGAGAGGCCCGTTGATATTCGTACCGTATTACAGGATGGAGATTCCGCAAATAGCAGAATGTCAATGCCGGTAGAGAACGTTTGGCGTAGAAACTGGCAACGACGCAGCCCCACTTGGCTTGTCAACGTCAAAGGGGCAGAGCAAACCTCGCAAACCTTTAAGTCTGGTATAAATGCTCTGCACGGATTGGCAAATGCACAAACCTCCAACACATCCAACGGCAGAACTGCTGCTTCTAGGAGAGACGAGCAGATTCAAGCGACCGGGACGTCTCAACACAGATCTGAACTTCGTAAAGTGGTGGCTTGCAACTGAAGGCTGAAAGCTTGTACTTTTACCCCCGTCAATGATGACGGCAGAAGGGTGTGCCTTCTACGAACGACGGTTTACAGAGCACTGACCAAGCAGCAGCCGAGCAATACATGAGCACACGCCTCCAATGTGGCCAATTGCCTAAGAGAAAGGGGTGTGGGGGTTAGTAACGCCTTGATCGGCCTTTCACGTTTTGCGGGCAAAAGTGAGCTTCCCGTTGGTTGAATGCAGGCATCAGCGGAATTGAAGACGACGTGGGCGACAACCCAAATCACATTCGCCATCCTTGCCCACCAACGCGTTCAACTTCGGTTCATAGGATCACTCCTTACAAGTAATCGTGGTGGATAATTGTCGACAGGACCTGAAAGTGCTGTAACGGAAGACCTTAAGCTGAGATGGACGCGGAATCGATTGCTCCCACTTTTTGGACCGAAGCAACTCGCACAACTAGGGCAATGACCAAAGTGTTCCTGTCATAGCTTGGACCAGGCTAGAGTGCTCTCACAATCCACCTTGAAGCGAAGTTCGCAGAATGTAATGACCTCATCACGACGCGTCTGACGAGAGCGACCAAATCTGCACATCGTGACCGTATGAAGCACGGCAAAGCGGATACGTGCACTTTGTCAATTTAAGGGAGTGTGGACTAGACTCTTGGTCTTCCAGGCCCCAGACATGGTTGCACGCGATGTTCCAAAAACCAGCCGCTGCACAAAATGGTGATCTCTCAAAAATGGACTAATCTAGGAGGCGTGTCCTTTGTGGTCCAAGAGCTCACCTTCATCAGCCGTCGTGACATGTAACCCGTTTCCGCAGTCTTCACCGCAGTGTCGACCAGCCCCTCGCGACCGCCCATGGTATGGAAGAAGAACTCGTCCGGAGTCATGCCGCTGTAGAAGGAGTTGGCGACAAAGCCTTTGGCGCGGGGAGTCTTGTCTGCAAGAGGACAAACACCAGGCGTCAAGTTCTACTCTCGCAGTCTTAGGAACGTCTGGGCATCAGTCTTGCTCTCTAAAGGTGGGCTCTTCAACAACTTGACGAGAACGTATCGAAGAAGAACGCGTCGAGCGACATGCCGCTGTAAAAGGTGTTCGCGACAAAGCCCTTCGCCCGGGGGGTCTTGTCTGCAAAGAAGGAAATCACAAGAGGCATCAGGTTGTATTCTCGCTGTCTTGGGATGCCCCAACCTCGTCGTGGCAATCAAACGTGAGCTAGATACCCCCAGACACGATTGTGTTTGTGAACTCAATACCACCACCCATTCCCGGGCAAACGGCGCAAACTTCGCAAACTTTGGCTGATGAACTCGTCCGGCGCATGGTGCTCGCTGACAGTCTGACACATACGACCTTCGATCGAAACCTTGGGACGGCAAACACGGACATGATTAGTCCGACCCAGCATCATGATCGAGGTCGTTCCAATTCAGAAGTAGGATACTTACCGTGCTTGAAAAAGAGCGGCAGATTCCTGCTGATGAAACCATCTGGAGCCCGGTGCCCGCTGACAGTCTGCTGCCCAACGTTCCGACAGTTGGCTCGACGATCCGGACAAGAAAGAAGCGCAAGGAAGGCCCGACGTAATAAGAGCAGGATAGCAAAAGAATGATCAGAACTTACCGTGCTTGGGAAAGTGCGGCAAACTTCGGCTGAGGAAACCGTCTGGCGCATGGTGCCCGCTGACCGTCTGCTGCCCGAGACAGGCCCCTCTGACCAAGAACTGAATATGACTGATCTCTAGGTCAAAGAATGTTATGCGTCGTTCCGATCCGATCGACATCGAAATACCTACCGAATTTTGGAAAGTGCGGCAAACTTCGGCTGATGAACCCGTCCGGCGCACGATGCCCGCTGACCGTCTGCTGCCCGACACACGCAACCATCTGACTGATGTTGATGGTGGACCCTTTGGAACCACACTGCGCCATGGTGAGCGGGCTGTTGCGCCAGTGGAGCTCGCGCAGGCACACCTTGCCGGCTTCTTCTCGAATCTTGTTCAGCTCTCCCGTGATTTCGGCCTGCGGAAAGGCAAGGATTCGCAGAACTGCATCTGGACATGTCAAAAGCGGTTGGTTCGGATCGGATTTTTCTTATGCTTTCTCAAGCTCAAACTGCTCCGCAGTGCATCTTGCGCAGGCACACCTTGCCGGCTTCTTCTCGAATCTTGTTCAGCTCTCCCGTAATCTCGGCCTGCAAAACCAAACGTCTTTGACAAGGTGCTTCGACGAATAAAGCAAAGAACAGGGTTAAGGAGGTTTTGCTCGCAGAAATCGGGTTCTTGCGTAAGTGCAAATCCAAGCCGGGAAACCTTGCCGGCTGATTCTTGGATTCCATGATCGCACTGTGAGAAAGTAAGAGCTCAACAGATCGGTCTATCCGCACGACTCGCATAGGGCCTATGTCTTTCAAATTTCCGTCCAAGCAGAGACCTTCGAGGGCCCGTTCACGCAGGTGGGGTCCGGCAATTACACGGATCAAAAGAAAGAGAAACGGCCAGGAATGACGCACGTGATCTTCAAGGAAGCGGAACTCTGGAATCAATTGAGTTCGCAACTTTGTGGCTCCTCTCTGGATTTATCCACCTCGGTAAAATTCGCTTGCTGGCATGTGCGCATATTTGACCCGTAGTAGAAGACAAGAGGGTGAGCCGAAACCATCTATAAGAATGCCTCACAGATGGCATTCCAATTCCACATGCTTCCGGGTCCCTGACTTATTGCAATCCTGGGTCGCGTTTCCTTAGACTAACTCTGCGCCAAATTTTCTGACAACGTTCACTTCACCTTCAAGCTGTGCCCAACAAATTGCAACTCACCTCGAGCGTCTCTGCGGCGTTACACCCGGCCTGCAACGCCAGCTTTCCCTTTGCATACGCCTGGATGTGCGCGTCGCACGCAGAATACCCCTTGGCAATCTGCTTCTCCTTCTCGACCGACAGCTTCGGCCCTGGTGCCACGTCATCGATCCCGATGGAGAAGCCGTGGTTGCCGATGAAGCGCGCGCTGAACTTGGCAAGCCGGTTCATGCACGCGGCCGCGACCTATTGGGACATGACACGTGTCAGCATTCAATGCCATGCCCAAAATATAGTCTCAAAGAGCAGGAGCCAATTTGTCGTTGGGGAGTGATTTGATGAACGGAGAAAAGCAGAGTGAGAAAGGAGCTCAACGGAAGGAAGCGGGGCAGAGAGACTTACGCAGGAAAACAAAGCATCGGGGATATGACTGCATACCAATCTGCAAGCTTTCGATAGACCAGTTGAAAGCTTCGAAAGATTCCTATGCCAACTGTGACTAACAATCAAGTAGAACGACATGCGCTCACGCTCAGACGTTAAAATGGTTATGAAGCGGGTTTTCTACAATCGTTGGATCCACAGTCTCGGGTCTCATCTGAACGATTAGGCAGATGCCAGATGTTTTGCAAGTGAGCTTGGCCTTCTTACGCCTTGATCCAACACAAGGGCAATCGGAGGGATTTAAAGCACCGGGCAGCTACGCAGACTGTCCAGCGACAGGAATCGTACCTCAACCGTCAAAGCACAACCCACCCAAACCAGCGGTGATCTTAATCCGTACCTCAGCCGAGTAGTCTCGCAGCAGCACGGTGAACAGCCCGTTCTTGTTCCCCGCCCCAAGCGTCGCCTTCCCCAGTTGTCCGCTGATCAGGTCGCTGTTCCGGAAGCACACGTAGCCGTCGCTTGGGCACATGTGCTCCGGCTCGACTTTCGACTTGGTGTAAAAGCGCTCCTTGACAACTAGATTGATGAAGATCCGGGTGCGGGCGCTGGGGCGGACGAGGACGTTAAAGACCTGCTTGCCGGTCCACAGCTCGACGGGCTGCAGATAAATTTAGAGGATCAGTCAGAGATGACGGAACCAAACGGCCTTTGACCACTAGGTTAACGAAGCTCCGGGTGCGAGCACTGGGGCAAACGAGGACGTCGAAGCCCTGCCAGCCCACAAATCGACTGGCTACAAACATTCGGAATGCGGGGCCGCTCCTTCGCATCCTCCAAGCTTAGATTTCCAGGCCTTTCTGAGCTACTGAGTGTCGGCCGCTTTACATGCAAGCGGCACAAAAACAGTTTCCAGCACTCAAAAGCCACAATTTAATGTTCGGGGTGCGATGTCAACCTCCACAAAGGTTGGGGAGCGTCCCTAAAAATCAGATGCACGAATCGTGCGTAGCAGTAGGGGGACCCGACAGGAGCATGCGGACGCTGGCCCCATTTAGCACGCTAGAAATGTAGGAGGGCAGGACGAAGACCGATCGAAAATGACAACGCGACGGAAGCCGTGACATCGGTTCAAGCTCCAACATCTCCACGATGCCGCTCATGCGGATTGCACGGGAAGCCAAGCACATGAATGGAACAGCCCCAACCAGAAAGGAACTAGCAGATCTGATCGCCCAGGTCGAGTGAAGCAACACTCCTTTTACATCGCCCAGGAAGCAGCAAACGACGCCCGAACACTTAAAGTAGAGAGGCCCACAAACTTGGACAAAGATACTATACACCGGCGAACCGAAAATCGCACCTTGAGGATGGCGGGGGTGGGGAGGTCGACCATCTCTGACGCGTCGCCGAGGTAGCAGCAGAAGAGGCCGAACTGCGCGCGGTCGTAGAAGTTGTCCTTGTGGGTCACCAGGAACGCGGTCGTCAGGAAGTCCTGGGTCGCGGCAATCAGGATCTCGCCGTTCTTGGGCGTGCACAGGTTGTTGTGCACCTGCGAGCACCAACGAGGATACAGTCAGGAACTTGATGAAAGCGCAAGAATGGAAACTGTGGACACTGGATGCTTCCGTTTCTTCTTGCACATGGTTTTCCGGTGGGTTCGGCACACTCGAAGTTTCCAGCTAGTTTTCTCACAAGGTCAGACGTTGCTTCGCTCCATGCCGTGCAGACCCTCAAAGAATGAAACCGGGGTCGAGCTTCTGGGTACTAATTATGGAAAGCTCCCACACAACATCTTTCGAAGGAACTGGAACCCTGCTTTCGTCTGACTGCCGCTACGAGCTCAAGAGCAAGTGGAGAAGAATGCCAGTCTCGTTTCTTTGTGCGCCTGCCAAAGCTGACAGGAATAAAGTATCCAAGGTTGGCTGAAATTCTGCTGTTGTTGTATGATATTGGAAAGCTCCCAAACAACATCCTTCGAAGGAACTGGAACCCTGCTTTCGTCTAACTGCCGCAGCTCGCTCAAGAGCAAGGGGAGAAGAATGCCAGTCCCCTTTCTTTGTGCGCCTGCTAAAGCTGACAAGAACAAAGTATTCAAGGTTGCCGCAGCTCGCTAAGAGCAAGGGGAGAAGAATGCCAGTCCCCTTTCTTTGTGCGCCTGCTAAAGCTGACAAGAACAAAGTATTCAAGGTTCGCTGAAATTCTGCTGTCTTTGTACGCCTGCCAAAGCTGACAAAAATCATGTCATATCTAGCTTGGGCTGGACTCTTGAGATTGAACTGGATGAACCCTCACCCCCATCAGCTCTATGGCCTCTGTCCGGGCCTCTTCCGTCTGAGGCACGTGCAGGTTCATCTCGTCGCCGTCGAAATCTGCGTTGTACGGGTTGCACACGCACTCGTTGAAGCGCAGGGTTCGCCACGGCATGATGCGGGCCTGCACAGAATGAAGCAGTTCAGCGATCAGTATCCAAAGAACTGAAAGACCGAAGACGCCCATTCATCTCGTCACCGTCGAAATCTGCGTGGTACGGGTTGCACACGCACTCGTTGAACCGCAGAGTTCGCCACGGCATGAAGCGGGCCTGCATAGAGAGCGAACAGAAACAGAAGCAATCCGTATTTGACTATTGCCGACCTCCGAGACCGTCAACAACCGGCGGCCGTTGGTGTTGCGAAAAGACATGCACAATGTCATTTGCTCGGTGCTGAATTATAGCATTCGCTCATGCCGAGCTTACCACCGGCATAATAAACGGTAAGTGAACCCCTCGACTACCGAGTAAAACCTTAGAATCTGCTCCACCTAGTGATCGCTTCTGCAATCCCGATTCTCCCCAGAATCGTTAGCAGCAAGCTAGGATACGCCATTTCAAATAAAGCGTATTTCCAATCTAGGAGGCCCGCCATACCCTAGTGCGACACAATGGACATCCATGCAAGCTCGGCTGCCGGTCAAAGAGCACAGTAATGCCAGCTTCTTTTCCGTCATCTGAACCAGACTGGCTGAGAAAGGATGCAAACAAACAACAATGCGCGTCATAGCTTATGAGGCGGGCCATACTCTATGCGACATGATGGACATCTTGTGCAGACTGGGCTGCCGGTTGAAGAGCACAATGTCGCCATCCTCCAGGTGGCGCTCCACCACGTCGCCGTACTTGAGCTCGGACGCCACGCGCCGCCTGTCGCCAAACTTCAGAAACCTGGACCAAAAAACTCGGTGTGAATAAGCTCAAAATCTGCACTACCAAAAAGGCGGCTTTAACCTATTTCTGAAGCACTTGAGCTCGGCTGCCACACGCCGCCGGTCGCCGAACTTCAGGAACCTGAACCAGAGGATTCAATGTGACTAAGCTCGGATCTAGCATTCTAAGAGCTGGCTCTCATATCTAGTTGTTGGTCCGCGGGATGCCCAGTCACCTCGGAGAGGCCCTTATTCTGCTCAACTTGTTTGCTCAGTAACCGCAGTTGAGCCTTGGATCCAAGTTTGCCTGCAGAACGTGCGGTGTCGACAGCTGTTCCGCTTGCCAACGTCTCACATACTTTGCTGCGTCACTTCAAGAACAGGAACAAGAAGGCGGGTTCGAAAAGCGGGACGTAAGCCATTTCCCAGGTGCATCCAAAACACGAATTGGAAAATCATAAAAGACGAACCTTCAGGTGCTACCAAGGACACTAGAACAAGGGCACTCGTATTGATGCGTCCATTCAAGGAGTAGGACAAGCAGCGACGACAGGTGCGACAACGATGTCCCATCGGGAAAACCGGTGACAGAACGCCCCTTATCTGAAATTAAGCACATCGCTTCTGCCTTACTGCCCTTCTGCTTTTTCCAGACAGAGAGGGAGCCCCGCTTCCTGATTGACTCTTCATAAAGCTATTCAGACTGATCACAGGCGCTTCACTCTTTGATCGAATGACAATCACGATCAAAGCTGGTGAGAGGCTTCACAATCCGGAGCGTACCATTTCCCGCCGTCTGGGAAGCACACGAAGTTTGCGCCCGGGTGCTTCGTCATCCCGTTCAGGACGCGCTGCCGCAGCTTCTCTATGTTGTGCCGGTTCACCTGTGTACACACACGAGAGTCAGTCAACACAGGTTTCTTCAGCACGGCTCTTACACAAGTTCTGCGGAGTTGACTTGTGGCCGAACACATTTTCACGAGAAGCTTTCAGGACGTCCTTGCAGGAATGGACTTTGCTCCCGCACCCAGTCCGACCGATGTTTGGCTCCTCTATCGAAAAGGTCAGCATGACTCTGCGCAAAATCCTCACGAAAGTCCTTCCCAGAGAGAAAGAAAGGAAAGACGGCTATCTGCCAGCCGATGAACGTTCTCATTCCAGCCGACAACTAAGTTTAGCAAGCGTAGCTTGCGGCCGCTTGCAAGGTCGCTGATCGCCATGCGGGCTTCCGCCAACGTACGCGCTCACAAAAAAGAAAGCACAGCAGCTTGTTGACCGCCGTCAGAACACACCCAAACCCCAAACGACGACATCTGTTCGCTTTTGAGCGACCTCTTCCTCACCTTCTCCGGATAGCTCAAAATCTGTGCCATCAGAATCGGCACGGCGACCTCGTTGATCCTCAAGTTCGGGTCAGGCGAGATAACCGTCCGCCCGCTGAAGTCCACGCGCTTCCCCGACAGGTTACCTCGGAACCGCCCCTGTTTGCCCTTTAACCGCTGCACAAACCCGCGCAGTGGCTTTCCGCTCTGGAAGGCCATGGGCATGCCCGGCAGCTCGCTGTTGATATACATGGCCGTCTGGACTTGGAGGAAGTCCCAGCTCTCCTGCACAAACGAATGCGGGCTTCGTGAGGCAACATATTGAATTCAGACAAGAGGTCGGAACGCTACTTACCTTGCATAGGGAGTAAAAGCAACCATATCGGATCTCTTTCCAACCGATTGTAATTTCCCGTCAAGCGACTGGTCGTAAGTTTCAAGTCGCTCGCTCCGACAATCTGAGAGGCTGCAGAATACAAGCAGGGAGTGAAATCAGACCCGGCAATCCATTGAACGCGACGGGTAAGCAGCCTTTCGGACTGCGTCTGTGGCTAGCCCGTTCTTCAGCGATTCTTTTGTAGGCCTTGAAGAGCCAACTTTGATCAGATGAGATTGAGAGTAGTCAACCTCGCAGGCAACGTTGCAAGTTCTCCGCCAACTTTGCTAGGATTGGCACCGTCCCTGCCCCGTACAAGACAGCGAAGCAGCCAAGGACGTCGCAGAGACGAAGAATCAGATCAGACAATCAGAACCTAGAAGCGGATAGTAAATGGACCACGGCAGAGTTAGAAAACTACTCACCATGACCTGGTTGATGGCCAGCCCTTTCTGCAGTGCGTCCTCGACGATCTTGTTCACCTCGATGATCTGCATCAGTTTCATGGTGATGTCATCCTCGTTACTCCCCGCGGCCGACTCCATCTCCACGGACGGCCGGATGCAGACAGGTGGCACGATCAGGTGCGTCATAACGAGCCGCTCCGGACGTCCGTGAACGTCCAGGATCTCGCAGTCCTGCAAGCGATGTACGTGACGCCTTTACATACGCGTTGTAAATCAGTTTTGCCAGCAAAGGCAGTCTCCGCACCCATGACAGTCTCGTAGCACCTTCGCTTCACCTCTGATCTCGGATGTTTGCAGAAGAGCGAGAGCTTCTAGATGGAGAGGTGTCGCAAGGACTGAACACTCAACACACGCTGGGACGGACGGCACTCTCAGTCCTGGATCAAGATACTAACAGAAAAGGTGGACGACAGGCGTGTTGGAAACAGTTGTAAGTTTCTGCAGGTCGACCAGAGGCAATCGCCCAATTGGTTCTGGCCCGCTTTGAAGGCTTCAGAACATAGGCAATGAACCCCAGTGTAAAACCCTACTCCCGAAGTACTTGAAAACCCTAAACATCTACGAAGTTCTAGGAACTCTCACCTCGTCCAGTATCCGCTCGAAGAGGCCCAGGATGCGGATCGGGTTCAGGTCGTCTTGCACTTTGTTGAGGTGCGTTTTGAGCTCGCGGTTGTGCTTAGCCGGCTCCTGGAACTCCTCCTGGAAGTCCTCCTTGATCGAGACGTCCTTGGCGTACTTGTCGTGCATAATCTTCAGCGTCTGAGTCGCCTTCTTAACCACGCCTGGCAGAGTTATTGGTGGAAGTTTTATCAGCGTGTCTATCAACCACGGTCACAGTTGCCATGCTTGAATAAATCCAGATTAACAACTAGGGATTCTGTTCTCGGGCTTTGCGTGATTTTCGGGCATGAACTTCAGCGTCTGGATCCCTTTACAACCACACCTGGGAGAGGAAGCGAGTTCGTCAATTTTTCGCATCTTTAGAGGTAGTGAAAGTGGGCCAGACAGTTGGCATCTGAGAAATCGCGTGGAACCTAGAACGCATCCTCAGCGCACGTCGTCGTGCATTGGCTTGAGCGTTCCAGTGGCCGTTTTTCACCTGGCCACGAACACCGTTAAGAAAGACTGTCCTATTCGTTGACAAAGAAACCGTTTGTCACCTGCCTCCCTGAAAGTCGTTTCACGCCAACCCACGGCCGAAAGTGACACAACCAAGAAAGCAAACGGTCCCTCTCAAATCCTACTTCTAGCAGCGAGAACTCGCTCACCGTTGACATCCCCGCAGTGCGGGCAGTACCGCTGCCGCTTGCAACGGTCCGCGACTTTCTTGAACATGGCCTTTTTCTGGAGGATCTCCACCGAGGGGTTGCGGAATCGCCGCAGGAACACCTTCCGCTCATCCTCTGGAAGAAGGATGCGGGCGCAGCTCTGCAGCCCAATAGAAGCCGAAATGATGACCAGCGACAGAATTGGCTCCGCCTTTATTGAGGATGATTCTCTCAAACTGTGTCAAGAAACAGTGAGAAAGCCAGGGCGAAAAGCAGTGTCTCCGAGAACCGGCGGGTACCCGTGCTGGCGTTTGATCCAGATGACGAACAGAATATGTTTCAACACCCTAAGCTTCAACTCAGAATTGCCACCCAACTCTCTCCATCTTCCCATGGCTTCTTGATTTTGACATACGTCTTTCAAATATCAACGTTTTTCCAAAGCAGGAAGGAGCGCAAACTGTCCATAATCACTCCGGATTGCGACAGAGCCTGTCAGAGAAGGAAACCCCATGGAAGGGAAGGCTCACCTTGCAGATGCACTGCAGGATGGCAATGCAGTGCTTGAAGTATCCGATGTGCAGCACAGGCAGTGCCAGCCGGATGTGACCAAAGTGCCCGGCGCAGTCCGTCAGCTTGCCTTTGCAGGTCGAGCACTCGCCCCGCTTGTCAGTGGTGCCCTGCGTGGAGTCGATGGTGTCAATAACAGCATGTCTGGACACCTTTTAGTTAAATGACACCGCTTTCAAATGACTTGACACTCAAGACATGCACAGCAGGTGTCCACGTTTGGACTTTTGCGGGGGCAGAGTACTACCGAGATGCCTGGGGTACTTATTGGTTATGAATGGCCATCGGAGTGGTCAAAGCCTAATCTATCTTCTTGGGTTGGCCCAAAGTCCTGATTCTCCAACTGTACTCGAGTCTGCTTTAAAGCAAATATGTTCCGACAACACTTCTGAAGCACTGAACAAGTGCTCGTAGCCTGTACTTGTGGGGTGCACAACCATCTTTTTCCTTGATTCCTGGAAAACATATTTAAAGAACAGACCCTCTGCGCCACAGCTGTGATAAACTTCAACCCCAACTCTATTGACCAACACTATGAGCGAAAACTATCAACGAGAAGGGCAGTGTTGCACAATCGAAGTACGTACTAAATGTGCGGCATGCACGATGGACAGCCAAGGCTCCCATGAGTTTTTAACCGCTCTCAGACAGAAACATAATAAAAGCATTTGTACTTTGGCGCCACAGAAACTCCTAACTTTTGCCACAAGCTAACCAGAACAAGCACTCGAAACATTGACGAAGTGAACAGTCAAGCTCTTTGCACATCCTTAAAGAACATTACTCGTCGAAGAAGATGTAATAAAGGTGCTGCAAGTTGTTTGTCTCGCTCTTGAAGTGGAAGATCAAGGCTTGCTATTCACTGGTAATGCTGTCAATCAATGCCATCCAAGCTTCGAGGCACCACCTCTTGTACTTAGCTGCACCATTTACAGATGAACGCTCACCAACTTTGTGTCAAGGATCCCATTGGGCGCCGGCTTCCTCTCCGGTTGCTGGTACAGGTTCCTTTCAAAAACGTGCAGCTCTGATACTTTAACCATCTCCTGCGCTGACATCACCCCGAATTGGATGCTCTTGATCTTCCTAGGGCCGGGGTCGTCGCGGTACATCTTCTTTGTGAAAGCGATGGTGGATTCCGGGGCCGCCACAACCAGCCCCAACTGTTCCCGAAGCACCATCGCTACAGTAATGTGCAAAGCTTAATCCTCCTTTGAGCTTCTATAAAGTTGACTTCCAGCAAAAAGTTTCTATCACAAACTCTCTGTTTGCTCAGATAAATCTGTCAAAAGTGGTGTCACTGTCAGACCACCCGCTCTGCAAGCAGCATTCCTCGTTCTTCGTCATGCGCTTCGTTTGCAGTCCAAGAGGGGTCCTAAGAGCACTCGTTTTCTAGCCATCCACCTTCCGCCCTGATGCATATCATTCTTCAGCTCCTGACTTCCTTGAAGCCCTGCAATTGATTCCCACTTGGGCGCAAGCAAAGCAAGCGCAACAAAACTCGAAGCGAAAACTAATTAGGGTTTTATGTTCAGGCTACATCATACATGGCGTGTGCAGTTTAGGGTTTCGGGTCGGGGTCCAAATATGAGGTTTCGGGCATAAACCCCCAGGCGGCGTGGCTCGATCAGGCCGCGCCCGCGCCCGCGCCCGCGGTACGTGCATCCAGCCTGTTTAATACTTTAGATACTACTGGATACGACTCGACGATCGCCATTTCGACTTTCTTACCGCCTGTACGATCGCCATGTTCGACTTGGTTAAGGACTGAGAGCGGCGCCTTTGGCTCTTATTAGTGTAGTCGCTTAGGGCACCGTCACAAGCTAGCGGCTTCTAGTGCATTGCCGTCGCTTTGCCTGCATGTCAGAATCTTTCTTCCAGCAACCTGCAGAAACTAACGTGCAGAGTAATTCAAAATGTATCTTTCTGATGAGGCGAAGCAGAGTGGTATGTGTTCTCTAACCTTTGTGAAAGAGCTTTCGGCGGAGACACCACTGGAAGCACAACCCATTAGAGAAACTGCATCTGTGTGTCTGCACAAAGATGTGCTAGTTGAGCACAGCCCGTTTTTTACTTCTCATTTCTCCAAGAGGTGGGTGAACAAACACCTGGAAGAAAGCACGCAGAACGGGACAACTTTTACAAAGGTGTCCGTCATTGTCTCAGGGCCTGTTGACGACTACGCTCTCGCGACGCGAAAGGTTTTTGAGGCACACCATTCTGCCAAGAAAATTCATCGCTTCTCTTGCTTCTCGGAGGCCTTGAGATGCCTCCAGCCAGCAGACCACTTATCGCTAACCAAGCTTTCATCAGACGCCGTCCAATACTTGAGTTCTGTTCCATGGACTAGAGCTCAGTCGGAGCGGGTTAGAAGATTCTTAGAGAGCTCAGCTTGTCCTCCTGAGAGTCTGACTAAGCGCATGGCTCCTGCAAGCGCAGACAAGCGGTTCACCTTTCTTCAAGACTTGTTCAAGGCAGCTAGGTGCGGCGAACACGTAAAGGGCTCTGAACAAGCCAGGGAGATGATCAACTCTCTTGCAATGCAGTTGCGGTTCAAAAGGGAGATCTTTGAACAAGAGAGGGACAACTTTTTGGACGCTCTGAAAATCAGCCTGCAGCAGCTCACTGCCAAAGTAGTTGTAGAAGATCGAGGAAGCATCCTGCTCGACAGCGAACGCAGTGAACTAAAAGTGATTCTCAGCGGCGCGGCTTGGATTTTCTCAGAGACAAACCTTGGACGCACCCATGACATCAGGCTCCGCATCGTCGACTTCTTCCACGGAGTCAAAGATTCTCTTCCCAAAGGGGTTGTACGAAAGCGTCTTCTGCGATGTAGTCTGTCCGGCGTTCCTTCCCATCCTCCGAACCGTCCGAAAAGGGAAGCTTATTTTGGACGAAGACCTTAGATGCAAAGTGCTCAGCCTTTGGGTGTACAAAGAGCAAGGATCCAGTCGCAGGGCAGCTGCTGAAGATGAGGATGACGAGGAAGATGACGATGGATATGACGACGAACATGACGAGGAAGATGACGATGATGATGACGATGACGACGGAGATGCGTATGACCTAGTGGAAGCAGAGTTCCTGGAGATTCTGTCGACGCTTCCCAAGGATCGGCAAAGGGCGGTGCTTGATCCGTGGATGGGTATGCTGCTTCAGCCGAAGAATGGAAGCGGGGAGGAGCAAGACTGGGAGCCCTGGTTCGAAGATTGGGTACAAGCCTTCTTCATCCATCCTTCCAAAGATGAGACGGTGAGAATTTGAAAGCGCTCGCCTTTATATGGTGTCATGGGTCTGTGCATCAGGCTACGTACTGTTGGTCCTCATCAGTCTAGAAGAACCTGTTCGATGATTACTCCACAGTGCTTTGGTTAAGCCGCTCGAGCGGAAAAAGTGTGGCATGCTCTTTGAAAAGTGAGGACAATGCTTTTCGGTGTCGAACAGTCCTACTCTTTTCCTTTCTGATTTTCGACTTCCAAATCTAATCTCAAACGGGGCTGCATTTAAACGGGGCTCCTCACTTCCTTGCCCCCTTTCTCCAATCCAACTCATGCAAACGCGCTCGCACAGGACGGCAAACCGACTTTATTGCCCACTACGGTGCACGATACAGTCTTCGCGTTCCTGTTTCCCTTTTCTTCTTCCATATCTAACCTAACCATAACTTTGATTTGTGGTTCCTAATACTGTTTTTCTGCTGAATGCTTTCTTCAATCGACTCGGGTCTCGTGCCTCTCGATCGCAGGACGATCAGCACCAGTCTGAGAAGTTCGACCTGGCACAACCAGCTTCGACGACTCCGTTGAGGGGAGGCGGCGTCCAGATGGTTCAAGCCCTGCTTGATTCCACCAAGAGCAGTATGAAAGGTATTTTCGACAGGGTTGACGGAGCTCTGAGTGGCCATATGGCCGGAAATGATCAGGACGGTCAATACCATAGAATACCATAGCCGTAGAATCCGGATTCGAATTTCCGCACATAACGAAAAACATGAGCGCAGCCACAACGAGCGCGCTAGTTCTGGCTCCGACCCTATGCAACTTGCGCGTAGACATCCGCCCCATCACGCTATCCATTAAAAGGCCGGCTCAGCAATGCTCATGTCCTCATTGACATTTCATGTTGCTTAGAACTCATCGATCAATTGGAGTTCTGTCAGCACTTGCATTGGAAGCGAATGCCGGCAACTTTCATTGACGGCCGCATGTCCGACACATTACAGATTAGTGGTGAGAATGCTTCCGGCTCTGCCATTTACCAGAAGTACAACTAGAGGTACATCTGAGGTACACACCACTCATCAATCAGCACTGTGAGATTTGGAAAGCTATCGTTTGTATACGAGCTGAACATTATAGACATCTGGTCTCAAACATGACGTCGAGACAATGCAAGGATCCCCTTACGTATACGGGCCCGGCGGCGCTTTCGTGGGGTCTTACAAAGGCAATCAATCAATTGTTGCTCAAATCGCATTAGACCATCCGCCATCTGCAACTTCGACAGGCCCGCTTTGCTTGCAAGTGTTCAAGCCTTCCCTGAAACTCTTTCTAAAACCTCTGCTCTTTAAAACAGACCCGGTCTCCTGTTCCGTTGATCCTTCTCGTCGATCAGCGGTACGTACCGCACCGCGGTCGCTGCGCGCTCGCGAATGGAGTCCCCGGTCGGGGACTTGTCGTACACCATCAGGTGCTGATCCAGGGCGTCGCCTACCGGGCACACCATACGGCCCCCGGGCTTGAGCTGCTGCAGAAGCTCCTGCACAAGGAGGCAATTTGGAGACACTTACCGGCGGAGTACTAGAAAATTTAACGGCTTTGTTTACTTGTAAAGAAAGCCGTTAAAAGTTCAAGTCCAAGACTTCTTGAATCCTGATCGTATCGGGATGTTAGTAACGTGATATACCAAAACCTCTTTTACCGTCTGGTAAAACCTTGAAAGCAATCAATTGACATCCAGCGACTTGTAATTCTTAAGATGAATTCGAGCCTTGACTTCAACAGATCCGCATTTGACTCGCTTCGAGTCTCCGCTTGCAGACGTTCTCGGTTCGAGTAATGTAAAATGGAAGCGTAGACACCGCCTTAAGCCGTGTCCCCGGCCTGCAAGTCTGATCTCACGCCCCGCTCGTCTGATTGTCTGGACAGAATCCGGGATTCGGGGCGTTCACCTTCTCACAGAAAGTGCACAGAAAGTCGCCAAAACTAGTTTTAGGTTCGCTGCTTCGCATAAAGTTGATAACTACAAAGAGGCTAATGAGGCCAAACTTGAGGTGGTTCAAGGCAGAATCTAATCACTTTGAACTTTGCTACGTTTGCACGAGCACAGAGTCGACGTCAAAATGCGTAATTTCACATGGTCAACAGTCAATTGATGATACATTACGATTACAGAAGGGATAAATGTGAAGCGAGCGTGATGAGCCCACCCTGGGGGTGCCCGACGCGGCCGCGCCCACGTGAATGACGTCATACGGCGCCGCGGTGGGCCAACCTTTCCTGCCGTCCCCCGTGTGCAGCTCAATCACGCCCTTGTCCAACAGGTGTCCGGCGGCCGACTTCCGGACGTTCGACTTGGATGACTCCGTCAGCTCTGCCAAAAGTGACGTCACTGCATATTGTTCGTCCACGAGATGTCCAGCAGCTGATCAGGTGAGGTTGAGGAAGCGAATGCAGGACGGAAATAAAAATGAAGCAGATGGACCGGCAGATTGCACTTGGGAAACAGAATGCCGTTTAGCCGGACGAGAAACTTCCTGGACGTAAGCAAACAGTCGTATTCGAATTACTGACAGCAGATCAGACGGGCCATTACCTTGAAGAGCTTGTGGCCCGCCAAGCCAAACCTTCGAAGCTCAAAGATACAATGGAAAGACAATTATACGCGGTTTTGTCGAAACCACGTCTACTGTTTGGAAGCGATTCAAATGTTCTGGGGTGTTTCAAAGTCTATGGCTCCATCCCAACGTACCGCCTTCAACGGCAGAATTCTCATGTCTGTCGTGTCTGTCGCAAATTTCAAACCAGAACGACGGCTGAATAGAAGCGCAGAAACTCTCCCTGTTAGGCACCTTCGATGCCAGTGCTTCCGTGTCCCAACCATCTCGAACCTGCGGCCCTAAGCGGGTCTTATGCCGCTAGGATTCAGTTCCCAGCATTGCTTCCGTTCAGCGTCAAAGCAATGAAAATACAAGAACGGAAAATAAGCATAAGGGTTTAAACTGTTATCATTCACCTTTGATATGCTCCACGCCGACGGCCTTGCCTCCCTTCCCGTCCACCATCATGCCAAAGCAGGCGGTAAGGTACCCCGTGCCGCTGCCCACGTCGAGCGCGCGCGCGCCCGGCTGCAGGCGGTCCTCCAGCAGGTCCAGGCAGTGCGCGTGCATGTGGGGGGCTGCGCGCGCGCAGGAAGGTGGGCTTTGAGCTAGCATTAATATGGGTGTTTGCATCCAGAGCCAGAACTGCTGCTCGAAATAAGGAGACCTACATGCGTGACAAGGTAACTAACTACCTATTTGCGGGGTGAAGGTAAGCAGCAGTTCCCTGCCAGCGCGACTTGGCTTACTGACTGAGTCGTGAAAGTTTCTGCAACATTTGAGGTTTGGAAGCGTGCTGACAAGCGCTCGAGGGGGTTTTCCTAAGCGTTTGGGAATCTCGTATCACGGGCATTCTGTGTGGATGATCTGTATCCTATTAATCTGTTAAGTGGGGTAATGTGTGGGCCCGTTTGGATGAATATTTGGCTTCTATTGAGATTCTAGCTATGCGTGTGCTTGAAACAAACTTGGCCGACAAGCGAGTTAGAGTAGTTCGAAGTCGGTTCTGTATAGTCGGCTGCATCCTTTCAGTAGCAGTTTGAAGAAACAGAATCCGTCGGAATCAGGGAGCTAAGGAGACTGGATTCAACTCTCTTATCGAGGTATTCTGATCCATCTTCTTCAAACGCAACAGGACAAGATCAAACATGTGTCAAAGCAAACGGTGACACGCAGATGGAGAGGTCTCAATAGGGATGCTCTCGACTCAAACTTTAGTTGAAGGGCAGTCAGTTCGACGTAATTCTGATTCATCTTCGGTCGATAGGATCGGAAGCAATCAGATAATTTTGGATTCGGAGAGTACACAACTTGCTGTCTGGGCATTTCTTCTTGTTGCCGCTAGAGACTGGGCAGCACAAGCACCTTTTGATGACTCGCCGAGAAATACCCTTTGTCCTAAACGTTGATACGGTCGAGGTTCTTGTCATCTGAGACTGCGCCCTTTTGCCCACGCAATGAATACTACCTACTTCTGACATCAGCCACCCTGGTCCAAGATAAAAGCCAATGCGCTTGCAAGATCGAGGGGCGCACGAAGTTCCCAGCATCTGCAATAGTCCATTTCTTGCCATCATCGGGTTCGCGAGTAGCCCAGATAAATGGAGAGTCCTTCATTGTGCCCTCTTACAATTCATCATTGCCCCCCCTGAATCTTACACAGAACTTCCCGCTTACTTTGATAATACGGGTCTCCTTTCCCCTTGGGTCCTTCAAAACCCAGCGCTTTTTCCTGAGTACTTTGTTTCTCCGTTGGTTATTATATCCCGAAGAATCCCGTTCCCACCTGAGATCGTTGCATTGTACCCGATCGGCTGCGGCACATCAAAGTACGGCTCCTCATCGGACGGCACGAACAGCCCCCGGTCCACAGCTGTCATGACGTCAGCCACCCTGCCGCTTTTGATGCTCCCCATGGCCCGCATGCGGCTGATGAGCTCAGCATTCGAGGCCCCGCTCGCGCGCATAAAGAATGCCATTTTGAACGTGGGCGCCTCTGCTTTCGACACGTGGGGGCCGTGCGTGCTTCCTTGTATCAGCGAACCTTCGCCGTCGAACGTCCGCCTTTCTTGGACGCCTCTCTTTGGGGCCCTCCGCGCCTTGCGCAGGAAATTGCCCATACAAAGGGCACGGCCGACTCTTTGCGCCGAGGCGCAAACTGTGCGCTGGCAGAGCTTATTTCTAGGAAGGTGAGTCGTCTGTGAAGCTACTTTGGCGGACCTACATTTCTTTTGGGGCAACAAAGCAAACCCTGAAAAGGGCGGCGGCAAGAAGCCTGCCGTACCGCAATCATGATGGGTCAGCTCCCTAAAGCCCGCGTTCCCGCGTAACGTGACTTGCAATGCTGCTCATCTCTTCGTTCTGTGCTCTGGTTACAAGCAGAAAGATCTCAACAGCTGTTGGAAAACTGCAGCGTTGCTGCGCCTGTCAGAAAGTGCGATGGGGCTGGAAAGCAGCCAATCAAAAGCCGACAAGCGAAGTGGCAGGCTTTCATGGTTCTGGCGACGATCCATCATCGGACCCGCGAGTCAAGGCGAGTTAGTCCTAGCTGCCTCCCGGCCTCCGACTGCCACGTCAGCGCAGGCCGGCTTGACGAGAACGAAACGAGTCCCAGCGCTAAGGAGCTCACGATCGGTGCGGTTCATTTCGTCAGAACGCGACTCCGCATTCATTGGCACCGTTTCAATAGCTGGAACTTGCAGATAGGGTGGCATGAATGTACTAAGATCGGTTTGCACTTCACTCAAAAATGAGCATATCTTCGCGAACCTGATGAAACTCGCGCGGATTTTGTTGATGGTGCGGCGATTTCGCGCGCCACCTTCTGTGGCTCGAACGCAGCTAGCAGCAAGGTCTTCTCATTCCGTTTGGCTCAAATCGCAGGCTTGTGTCTCCGCTTTTTTCAAGATCCTCTCGATCATACATGTCGGAAGGACTCGATCAATGATGGGCTGTCACTCCGGTAACCAACTTAGGTTGCCTGAGCGCCTGCCCGTTGTGGCATGCGCGCGGCATTTATTCGAGCAGCTGCATCCGTACCCAGTCGACTTGTAACTAACTTAGCAAAGGAGTCTCTAAACTAACTCAAGTTGGTGTCGAAATCTGCTATAGCTCTTGCATGACACTGACGATGATAATTGTTCGCGATCAGCTAGGTACGGATATCTTACTGTGCTGAATTGAAGCACTTCGATCTAGCTACCGCGTACGCCACTTGTATACACATGGTTTCCACAGGCTAGCTTTAGTGCGGCCGGCATACTCGGGTACGCGGACGGTCAATTAAACCGATCTGACTGATCCAAAGATCACGACAGCATGGCGGCAATGATCGAACCAGCAAGTACGGCCAGTGCGGGCGGAATCATGTACGTCATGTCACCAAGTATGTTTAAGTTTTGAAAGATCTATGATTGGAACTTAGGAATCGCCGAGTCTGCAGTGAGAATCGATCATTGTGATGGTCGAGTCCCGGCGACGGTCACTACTTGTGCAAGCTACAGTAGCCTCAGGAACTAAGTTCGGCTGCATGCGGCCCAGTACCGTCGGTTGAAGGAAATTGACAGGACTGATCGATTCATTGCAGGTAGATTTTGCGGAGTACAAGCCTCAACAATCGGACTCAATACGTTCAATTCGTCGGTGTTTGACATGTTACATCGAATGCAGTGTCACTTTAATCACGTGCAACACCAATCCTTTTGACTGATGTTGCGATGCTCGGCCACAACAAAACTGAGTCCGACTCCAAGTACCATGTTGTTCTCTAATGACTACGCGCGCGCTTCTTTGTACCCTGATCTCCTTTTCAGCCGTGGTCACAAGCACCAAAACCCTATCTCATACCTTCCTATCATCAGGGACGGGCCCCCAAACGTCCAGTAACCACAAAATTGTGTACTGTGAGGCGTTCTTCATGGATTCCCGTCCCAAGCTCAAAACAACGGTCTGAGCTAGAAAAAGAGCTGCAGCAAACTTTCGACTCAGGTGACTGCAACAGATGATCGTCACGGAAAACGAAACGGCATATGCAGCTCGCACGCGCATCAAACATCTGGCCACGTGGCCTTCTCTGCAGCCTTTTGTCGGAGCAGCGGCAAGGTAACGGCCATGCTGGAACCGTCCCTCGAGACTTGACACCAGTGATCGAGCTCCTCCTGTAATGAAAGTATGCAGAAAATGAGTGCTGAGGACCGGAAAGTAAGGGTGATGGGCAGTAGGTGTTTATTGAAACCTTTGACAGAGGACGAGGCGTAGGTTTGCATTGCATTCTCATACGTGAGCCTTCGGGAAGTTGTGCTGCGGTTCTCTTGCAGCAGTAAGTCGCAATTGCCGAAAACAAGAGTATTGTCTACGAGCATAGTATGCTGGTGAAAGCGTGACTACCAAGGAACTGAGAAAGCGTCAGGGAGACCAGACCGTTCCAAAGAGGTGACAGTAATTGACCAGGGGCGTTGGAAACGCTTCAGTAGTCAAAAGAGAATTCGGACTAACTAGCCCCGAGACTTGCCAGACTACTTGAATCCACGGAAACTGGTGAGCATCTAAAACAAGAGGAAACGCAACCCAGGACCTGGATCAGGCCTACCTTCGTGAATGCTTTATTGGACACATACTGGCCGTCAATAATGCACTCTCCGTCGCCCAGATCAACGGTCAGCGTGAGGATCAAGTGCCCCTGATCAGACTTTGCCACAGCGTTGACGATGCGCGCAATGCGGTAACCGCTGCCGTTTTGTTCCTGGGCGCGCCTGGGTTAAGCAAACAAGAGGGTGGGTTAGTTGGAAAACTTGCCAGATTGAGATCACTAATAGCGTGACGAGAACGAGACATGGGGACTGCCTGCTGGCCTGCTCAATCCCATCAGATGAAGATCTGATGGGAAGACATCCAGAAGACATCCAGAAGACATCCATACCCCCAACTCTGCTAACAACAGAGTTAGTTGAGTTTCAGACCCGCCTGATCGTTTGCAGACACTTTTGCCCTTTTGTTCTTCTCAGGGCTGCCCTCAAACGGGCATTGTTCTCAAAGCAGAGGGCCCCTGATACTCCCCAAATTCAAGGGCACTGACATTTCTATCCAACTCAGAGCCGTTCTGGATTCTGAATCCAACTCAATCTGGAAACGTAAGGATGCAGAGTTTGGGGCTGCAAGGAACACAACCTTCAGTCCCTAGTCGAACCCTCACCTTCCAAAGCGCACTCTCAAGAAGAAACCTTCGACTCGTTTCTCGAACCCTTCTTGCTCCGCCCACCGCACCAAATCCCTTCTCGGCAGCCGGGCCCCCTCCAGAGCATCCAGGAGCTCCGTGGGGGGGACGTTTGCCAGCTCTCCCCGCCCCCCCAAACGTGGATCGTTGAAGCCCCCTCGCTGTCGAACGGCCTTTTCTTCCCCCAGAGGAGAACCACCGGTGCGCTTCCCTTGCACATTCTTTCCGTATCCAACATCCGGCTGCCTTTTCACACCGTCTCCGTGCCCTGCCAACCCGCCCATGTGAACACGCTCCAGCTGCTCTTCCAGGGGACTCCCCCTCGGGTCGTGCTTCCCCTTCCCCAACCCCCCGTCCCGATCCTTGGCGCCGCTACTCGTCTTATACGCAGAGTGCGAGCTTCGTTTGCTCCGCTCTTTGCTACCCTCGTACCCCCCCCCGCTCGCGCCCCCTCTCGCCGACTCATACTCTCTTTCCCGCTTCCGCTATTCCGCGTACTCTTGCTTTTCCGCCCGCTTTCCGAACGTTCCATGTGCGCGTTCACACCGTAGCACCGGCCCTCTCCTTCCTCGTCCCGTAAATCGGCACCCCTTTCGCCGTCCCTCCTCTGTACAGATCCCATCCGTTTCCCCTTGTCAGGACTCTCTTTTTTCTCCGGAGAAAGCGACTCTGCTAAACCTCCTTCCCGTGTCCGTTTCTTCCCGGCCGGCGTAACGCCAGCCCCACTCCGCACTCCAGCGTTACCCCCCCCATCGTCCGTCGCCACCACATGGGCCTCTCGGAGGGACAACGGGCAATCCACCCCCCAATGCCCTTTTCTTTGACAAAGCAAACACCGCACCTCAACCTTCGGACTTTGCGCCCCGGCCCCCCTCCTCCGATCAGACTCCACGTCACCCCCCCCCCAGGAAACCGCTCGCGCCTCCAACTGTGCAAGCTCGTTTCGGGGGGTCTCCGAACACTCCGACACGGTATGCCCCCTCAACCCACAAAACAGACACGTCAGTCTGCGCATCTCCCCCAGCGCCATGGCCTCTCTTAGAATCGGGCTCTCCGCAATCAGCCCCGCCCTATACCGTGCGGACTCCTTTCTCCACTCCCGAACCGCCGCCATCGCCGCCGCAAAGTCTGCACTGCTCTGAGACCCCCTTCTATTTCCGGACCCGTCTTTCCCTCCGCCCGTCACTTTCATACCAGATGGCCCCTTCAACCCCGCCAGGGGGGTCATTCCTCGGGCCAACTCGACCCCCCCGGTCACGCCCAGCGCTTGTGCAAGATCCAAGTTGCTCCAGGGGGCTTGGAGAGTAGACGCAATAAAGGCGGTCTTACCCCCCGGCCGAGAAATTGGTTCTTTTCGGGGGAAGTGCTGGATGTTTGGGTTGGAAGGGGAGCGGCACATGTTGGAGAGACCACCCGACACTTGCGGGGTGTCCGTAGGAGTCAAGACCGGAGCTCGATCGACTTCCACTGCAAAAGTAGGGACAGCAAGATGGATTTGGGAAGGATTGCGAGAGAGCACACACTACAAAGGAAGCCGGAAGTGCAGCTTGCCATGATGTTTAGAAGGGTAGGAACACGCAACGCTCCAAGGGTTGAGCGGGGTGATATTCGGCAACAGAGAACTGTTGGCAGGTTCTTCATTTGAGTTGAGCCTGAAGAAATCAAAGGCGGTACCAGTATCTTCAAGACGAAACCGCTAGTTCCAACCACTATTTCCTGATGCAGGTCCAGACGAAAGCGCTCTTTACAATATCCATTCCTCGTCAGTGGAAGGCAAGATGCTCATGGAAAGGATATGTGCTTGCGTTTCAGCTCAAGGAACCTCTTGCAGTCAACACCGCGTTCTTCTACGTGCTTGGGGCAAAACCCGACAAGACGTTCCTTTGGAAAGCGCCAAAATGATGCTCGCACGGACCAGCGAGGCGTCTAACAAACGTCCAATATCAAAGTACTGAGACCTGCACTCACTGTCAGCCAAGTTCTTGAGCGAACTCTCCCGCCGCATCCCCGCTTCCTTCCCATCCTCTCCCTTATTCTCCTCAACCCCATCCTTCTTCCTGACCGCGGTTCCCGTTGCTTGCTGGAATAGCCGATCCATCCACGCCCCTTTACTCGCAACCCGTTTTCCCATGCCCTTAACCCCGACGCCCTCGTCAGCCTTCGTCGCCTGCTCTAGCGCCGCTTCCCGATTACCGGCTAACCCCTCCCGGGTTCCGCTAACCCCTTTCGCCGCAACCGCAAACGGTCCCCCCCGGGACCCCTCAATCAGCTTCGACACAAACGGCCGGAACGGCAGGGGGGCCGTTTCAGGGGCGGGCTTGCCCCCCTCCGGGAGATCGATCAGCGGCATCGATTGGATGTGGGGTTTGGACGGTTTTGCCGTCAGGTGCGCACTCAACCCGTTTGCTTCGTCCGCCAACGCCTGCTGTAGCTCCGTCCCTTCCCCGACGATCCTGCCCGGAGCCTGGTCCGCTGCTAAACCCTCCTCCAAACCCTGCGCTAAACCCCCAAAGTTGGGGACCACTCCAGCGGACGGACTACCGCTTTTCGTACCGAAGCTGTCCTCGTTGTTCAGAGCTTCGGGGGGGCTGTCCTGCGGCCGATTTGGCACCAGATCGGGGCGAGCGCCAGGGGGGGTAACTGCACCCGGGAGCGTTTCGAGAGGGAGCGGATCAGGCTGGGCCGGCGGCCCCCCTGGAAGGGTAACGGGCTCCGGCGAACGGACAGGTTCCGGAACGCCCTCTCCGGACGACTCTAGCGCGGGCTTCGGTTCGACGTCCTCGCCAGTCGGCGTTTCCGGTAGCAGCGACGTGTCAGGACCTGCCTTTGAATCGTCTTCGATCTTCAGCGACCTGCCGTGTTTGATGGGGGGATCCCCCCCGGGCGCGGCTCGCAGCCCATCTCGCCTCGCCGTCGCATCTCTGATTGCCGCTGCCAGCCGGTTATGATCGCCCTCTGGATACGCCGCATACCCCCCGAAATGGAAGTTTGCCACTTCCGGATCCGGACCTCCCTGCCGCTCAAACGCCCCAAAATTTACAGAATTGCCCCACCCCCCTTGGCCAGCATTCAGCTGTTCGTACTCCGGTATAGACCGCCAGTTGTGCAGCGGGTGCATACCCCGGGCTCGGTGGCTGAAGTCAGCAGGCCCCGCGGGTGACGTCAGCGCATCAGAGGCGCGGGTCGGAGAGGTTCTTTGGGGATGGGAGGGCGGGCTTTGGAAGGGACGGGGCCCAGGGCGCTGAAAGGGGTTGAAGGGAAGGCCGGTGGGGTGTTCAAAGTTGTTGAGGCTGGCCCCTGATCAGATATAAGAAGAACGCCCATCAGATCAGTTTCAACAGAAGAATGGCTTATTGGACAGCGGCAGAAACATGAAAATCGTTCGATGTGACGAACGTCTGTTAAGGGTGGCGACTGATCTGAGCTGCTCTCTTCCAGAAAAGAGTGGGAGCTGAGTTGCTGTAGGAAAGTTAGGGTGACAAGAGGTGCCACAAGTTAGGCATCGGCACGGGCGAGCTGCACTAATACCAGACCGCTACGTTCTGCGTCCTTGCTCCAATTTGAGGTAGACTTGCTCCGAGACTTTGCCATTTGAATGTTCGACCACGTTCTGTTACAAACACCCTTGACTACTAGAACGCCCATTTGGAACAATCATTTTGTTGGGCTTTGGGTAGAATGTCCTCAAAGAGACGTTATAAGATTACGGAACGACAAAAGCAGGTGGGCATCAGTTCATTGCCGTCAAAGTACGCTGATCTCACCCGCATCAGAGCCTCGGTAAACTGGCACCGCAAAGCTGGCAAAGCTTGTGCCGGCACTAGGTTCTCTCCCGCTCAAATAGCGCATTGTCTGGCCCCCAAACGACGGCTCAGGTCCGAAATGTCGTCCGAACGCCTGGCCGCGCTCCCAACCCGACATTCCCGAGACGCTCATGCTTGGGACCTCCGCATGGCGATCCGGCGCCTACAGAGTTGAATGAATTGGGGTCAATGTCTGCAGGTTATCAAATTCATGGTTGTTGGAAAGGAATCTGGAAACATACTCTGCTCTAAAGTTTCGCCGCTCTACCATTCGAGAGAGTCGAACAGGCTTGTGCTGGGGGCCTCTGCATGGCAATCAGCACAGATGAGGGTTACGATTCTAGGTCTTGCAGGATTTTCTGCAGCCAATCTGTTGGAACGTTCGGTAGCGCCTCCATTCGGGAGGATCGCATATGATGGTGCGTGAGACCTCAGCCTGGCCGTCTGATGTCTGTTCCGTAGCTTTCGGTCATTGGGACGACTCTGGTTTGCAACGTCCGAGACCGCAATGGGACGGCGACGTTGAGCCCAATGCTCCGACCATCATGGCCCTGGTCCCATCCGACGGGTTCCAGCTACGCTCATGCTTGGTTGAACTCAGCACTGGTCCACTTTCTAGCCTTGAATTCTGAGACCTTCTGATGGTTTCTGATTCTCGTATGATATGTTGTTTAAAGCTCCAAATTTTGCTCTCACTTCCACCTAATAAAGACCTATGCGACCAACATACAAATGCTGGAAAAGTCCCAAACAAGGATTGAAATTCAGATTCCGATAGGCGTTTAAGCGACACGTACCTGCTGACGAGGCCGCACTCCCCTCTCTGCAGCCGCCTCAGGGCCCCCAGTCCTCGCTGGTTGCGCACCGCCCCTGACCGCTGGCATACCAGCGGGCGCTTGCGGCCTGACAGCTGGCGCTTGCGGCCTGAAAGTTGGCGCCGGGTCAGACGGTACTGGGGGCCTTGATCCGGAGGGCGCGGATGTCGGCTGCAGTCTTCTCACCCAGGCAGAGGGGGGAAGGTACGATTGGGGAGGTCGTAGAACTGTTGAAGGTTGTGCTGCAGAAGGTCGACCTTTGTTCGTCAGCTATATGGAGCGGCTCAGGAGAGTTGGAGCAATCAGGAGGGCATCAACGAGGAACTGGTACAACCTGTGCCAGTTGGACTCTCCGAATGACAAGGTTACCCAACGGGTGCTGAATCTTATGATGGCCCGAGACAAACAGAGGCGCACCAACGCCTCAAGATGCGGCCTGAAGGATTGGCTCCAAAGACAATCTCGAAGGCCCGACTTCTCTGAGGTTCAGAGCTTGCAAGGGTCCAGTCGCAGTGAGATCCACGTCGCGAAGAAAAGATTAGCTCCCCAAAGGACGCACAGGAAGCTAGGTCACGTGAGCATGCCTGACCTGGCTTGACGTCGGCAGGCCCCACCGCGCTCGTTACTGGACCGGCGGACGGCGGAACACTGCTCACAGGAAGCTGTGCGCTGCTCGGACCGATTTCGGACAGCCCCGAGCTCGCCAGAGCTGACACGTAGTCCTTGCTCATGTTCCCCAGTTCCGCCATAATTGCACTCACGCGGTTCTCCTCTCCGCTGTGAATACCCTCCGTGCCTAGCCCGCTACTACCCGTACGGGTCTCCTGGGGGGGTTTCACACCTACTGCAACGTGGCCCAGGACGTCCAAGGGGACCTTGGTGTGAAGAGGCGCCTCTGTCCGGGAGTTGATAATGTGGAAGTCCGTGCGCCCGTCCAAAGCCGCAGCCGGAGGGGGATCCCCCTCCTGTCCGCTTCTCCCCCGGGGGGAGATCTCCTGGGACCCTTGCTCCTCCGACCGCCCCCTCTTTACCGCCGGCTCCCCAGCAAACTCCTCGACAGAGCGCGTCCGTTTGCCCCGCACCGGCTCCTTGGGCGCGTGCATGTCGCTGCTGACAGCTGGCGCGCCGCTGACAGGTGTCCAGTTCGCGCTCTGCCCGGCGTTGTACCGTTGAGCGCTACCCTGCTGCTCGGAGCTCGTGGCCTGCTGCGGCCCCCCGCTGAGGGCTCTGAAGCGGTCGCTCTGTTGGGAGCCCGTGTTCATCATGCTCTGGCCCCCGGTGCTGCGCGGAACGGACCCGCTTGCCTGCAAGCATAAAAGAGCTTAAGTTCTGACTGGCAAGTGTTTTGCAGGCTAGTAAGGAAGCTATATTGCCTGACTTAAGATAGGAGACTATGTGAAGTACGGACAAGTTTTGGTGAGGGCTGGAGTTAAGGTAGGTACCAGATGGATCAGGGTTCAGCTGAAGCAGCAGAAGGAAAGCTACGGTCCTGGGAGTCCTCATGGTCGCTTCCCATCAATCTGGCAACCATGCATGGTGTGAGCGCACTGTGCAGCAAAAGCTAATTGGCAGATTTCAGCTGTTTGCGGGAGGTGGATTGCTACGATTGCTTGGATGGTCGAGATGCGAAAAGAACGACAGCGCTGCCAGCAGACCAATACGTAAGAGCAAACCAGGGCGACCAACTGAAGTATCCAGCGACATACCTGTACTTCCGGCGTTGGCGAATCGCTCATCGACCCCTTGCGCGCGTCCAGTGACCCGCTGAAGTCCTGGCTCGTCCGCATAGTCTGATTGATTTCCCCGCTGCGCTCCTGGGAACCCCCTTGGTTATCGCTTGACCGTGGGAGCTGACCCGGGTTTGGGTTGGAAAACACTCGGTTATCACCGGGGAATGTCGGCATGTCCCATACCCCCCCTCTCATCGGGATTGCGCTTCCGCTTTGCACCCTGGGTATGCTCCCCCCCGCGATGAGAGGCGGCCGGTTTCCCTGGAGAGCTAGGGAGTTGGAGAAAGGCGCCATACCGTCCCAACCGTGGTGGGGGGTTTCTGGCGCTAGGTGCCGGTGCCCCCCAGGACCGAAAGTGGGGGCCATGCCATTGTGGGCGTGAGCAGCCAGCGCGCGGCCTGCGGCGTCCATTGCCATCGCGCCTAGTTGCTGCCGGAGGACGCGCCCTGTATAAACGAAAGGAGTGGAACATTAGTGAGCTTCGTTACACAGTATTATTTGACATATGAAGTAAACCGGGGAGCAGTTCCTTGATCCGCTTTATTTGTCCCCTCAGCACTGACAGGTGCCCCAATCAAGAATGAATAGGGAATCCTACACTGGTTCGCTTGGCAACCATTGCTCATCTCCAAAAGAGCCGCTGTACATATCCAATCTGCATAGAGTTGCAGCAACTCATTCTGCAGCTATTTGTGAAATACTTTGACACCTTGTTGTGGTGATATTGTTGCCTCTACACGGGCACAAGCATGGTCCTGCCACCCATTCCTCAATGAGTATTTAAGCAATGGGAGATCTTGCTATTGTGATTGGATTCCTTGCCACAGCAACCTTAAACAATGACGAAGACAGCCCCAAGTTTCGCTGTAACATCCCAAGCAGACTGAGAACTTGCTACATCATAATCTCGGCGGTTTGGAAGACCTCTGCTAGTACCGTCATTCCCATGATCCCCCAGCACTAACACTAAGATGAGAGCAACAAAAACCTGATGGCCACTGCCGACAAACTTGTTCAGCAAACACCGCGCTTACCCTGCTCCCTCTCTGGCCGATCAGACACCACGTTCCACATTGGCGGCATCGCTCCTTCCGGGGGCCACCCAAACCCCCCCTGCTGCTGCACCCAAGCATCCCCGTGCCGCCACTCACCCCCGGGACCCCACTCTCCCATCCCCCCCCCGGCGCCTGCATGTTCGTCCAATCACTTGCTGGCCTCTCTCTCGCTCCCGCCCCCGCTATGAGATTGTAGTTGGCCGGGGAACTTATTGCACTGGGGCTATGCAGAAAGGGGTCAGAATCGCTGTGCTTCCAACCGCCCCTCCCCGCACCGGGGGGGAACGTAAACGCCGGCTGGTGGGCCTCGGGAAACCCGCCAGGGGGGCCAAACGCCCCACTACGATCAAATGGGGGGGCGCCGCCAGGCTGCGGCGCGCCCCATCTTGGCTGCTCGGATGCAAAGAATGGCACACTGCCCCCCTCTAAAAATGCCTCCCCAGGAAAGTATCTCCTGTTTTGTGCAGCTGAACCATCCGGTTGTCGGTTGTTTTGGGCCGCTGGATGGTGGCCCCATGCGTTCCTTGGTTCGTTTGGTCGTTGCCCTGGGTCCATTCTTTTTACTGAGTCGGCCCAGCAGGACTGTTTTTGGATCCAACACTCAACCGTCGTCGAGCAGAAGGCTAGCAAATGCCAGTGAGCTCAGCATCTCTGTTCCGCAGCTACTGGAGCATTCTCTGCAAGGTATCAAAGTCCCAGCGCTCTTGATTAGCAAGGGACTTAAAGTGTGGAACACGAGCGAACCCTCCCTTGCGTAACAAAAGTGTCGCTCCAAAAAGAATGGTCTCAAGCTGGTTGTACATCTTGAAAAGGTTTGATGTTTCCCTTCCACGATGGCTCACACTTCTGTGTAGTTGTGAGAAACCTGATAACCCCCAAACTACCAACTCTTGGATGACTGGATAAACAATCAAATCTCAATTGACGTGCTTGCAGTACTGATCAATCCATAGCCCTTGAACAATGTACATTGCGAACAGCGATTGAAACGCTCCATTTGATGTGTGGTCACTGAGTATCAAAGCGAAAGTTGCAAAAGAACCAAGCTCGAAGCACAATCCAAAACAGCAGCGAATGCATCTAAAAAGCAGACAATGTGCTCAAAGTGAAGGCGTAGATGCTAAAACCAGTTCACAGACGGCAGGGCATAAACCAGCCACTGGTGCCAAAGACACAAGGTCCTTTTTCGTTTCCACAGGACCGAACGAACTCCAGAAGTTTGTTTGTTAAGTCAACAAAGCCGTATGTTGTCATTCTTCGGCACAATGCAAAGCTACTCCGCTCCTCAGGGTGTCTGCCTGGCCCAGGCAGAGTGATGACGACAACAAAAACCAGGTTCCACAACAATATAGAAAACACGGGCCAAGTAATTGTCAGCCCTCATCCCACAAGCTCATCAAAGTAAGTGACAATTAGTACTATATACCTGCCTTTTTTCCGGACCGGGTCATTTAGGGCAGCTTGAAGCAAGTCAATCTTACCTCCAATGACGCGTGAGCACCATGCAGGCAGCAAGGGCGATGTTTCTGTGCATATCAATCGACGCCAGAATCTGCTCACACACATTGCTTGCATGTCACACGGCAAGGACTACGCCCAAAACCGCCGAAAGCTGAAGCAGACTCCTGGTAAATTTCCACTGCTGTCCTCCTTATCCATTGGCTACCGCCCTACCAAAAACGTCCTCCTCTTTGGCGCTGGCGACTATCATCTCTGAGGTCGCCCCACTTGGGTGCTCGCAGTTGGAGGTCCTCCATCATCTGCATGATCAGAATCTGCTGCTAAGCCTACAGTGCAAGCTCCTTGAAGTTGCACGACTTTTGACCTCCCTCAACTTCAAGTTCAAGACTTGGAATTGTGAATTGCTCTTAATAAGTTTTGGATAAATATTATAAATGCGCAGGTGTCAGATGCACTGAGGATTGTAATTCGAGCTTATTGCCCAGGGAGGTGTGAGCATCGGACCCGGCTTTACACAACACCGGTACACCCAATGAGCTGACTTTCCGGTCTAAGGGGACCGGGGTGCGCTGACATCAGTTGGCGGGATGTGCCCGGGTGTACATTACCAAGAACAGAAAATACAGATATTCCTACTATATCACAGCCATATAAGCCAGCCAGATCACCCAGAGTCCCAGACAGAACCAAGTACCGTACGAGCCACCCATTAATTAGCCATCCAGTTCGAAAGAACCACATTGGGATGCTCCGGCGTCGTTCGATGTCAGGCAATAGCTCATCGGACGGCTCAAAAGCGCCCCTGTGCTGTCCAAAGTCCGATGGAATTGGCCCATGGTGCAAATTTTGAAATTACCAGGAAGGAATGAAGGAATTTGGAAAGGGGACAGAAGGAAGAAGGAATAAGGAGGAAGCAAGGAGCGCTGATGAGACTCATTGAGAGCGGGGATGTATGGCAGACACCTCTTGATATCTCACTCTTGTGTGTAGCTACGGTTAGGGGAAGCACCAATCACCAGAAGACGACGATTTAAGGATGCACAGTTTGGGTTTCGAGGGGGCGGTTCTGTGTGCTTCGAAAGTATGCTAGACTATGTTATGAAGAGGGTTTACATATGCAGGAGGAGCTGATGGGGTTCGAAAGCAAGGCAATCCATCTCATCTGAAGCCCAAGAAGGACAGCCAGGTATTACCACTACCTGATTTCCATGGACCGACCTGAGGATTCAGGATCGCCACAAAGTCATAATAGTACTTGGACTCAGAGCTAACTAACTTTGTCAAAGATTACTACTTCCGAACTCTGTCGTACCTTTTGAGACTTTGCCTGGTTCAATGTTCTGCACAGAGGTCCAGACATATGCGTGCTTGCAGAATGCTTAGAAGGCAATCCTGACAGCAGCTTCCAAGCAACCTGGTTGCCACTTTAAGTGAAAGTTTGTCAGTCTGCTGCTGACTAGAGTAAGTCTAGATAAGTTTGGCACAAAAATTGGCAGATGCCTAGAAGACAAGTTTTTCAAGTGTGGTGGTGCACATATCCGAAAAGATTTATTTCCAGACTTCTTGTGAGCGCCTTCCATTTGAAGAACGAGCCTGCAATGTTCTGCGCTGAGGATGTCGCCTTTCCAGAAACTCTCAAATCTTCATCCCTAGCATTGAAGGGCTTGAAATCTAGGATTGAAAGCCGAGAATCTGGTTTAATCTTCTCATTGAGATGCATTGTAAACTTGCTTAAAATTCTTTTACATTTGCAAGACCAGCTCAGTTCGTCTGTCGCGTCAAAGGAAGCTCCAGTCAGGTTATCGAAGGCCTCACAGAATGAGGCCTCAAAGAAGATTGGGGCTTACAGTTTGTACCTCCGGCCTTCTTCCCAAGCCCAGACTGACCTTGGTTGGTTCCAGAGCTCGCAGATACAAACAAAAGGCCAAAATTTGTGCTTGGTTATCGAGCGTGTTGTGTCAGATCTGTCAACAGCCTTCTCATCCCCAACTCTCGTCCCCCTGCAGCCGACTTGCACACATCATGGATGACATACTTAGTCAAGAGGACCATTTCGATGCTGCCAGTCCATCCCACCTTCCCCTTGGCCTTGAGGATGACGCCGGGCCTCTTCGAGTTGACCGTCTTGTAAACCTCCCTGAAGGTGGTTTTAGGTTAGAGAACTTGGGCCAGCTGCACAGAGTGCCGGTCCCCAACATGCAGCGTCTCGAGTTTGTGTTGGCGGGGCTTCTGAACCAGTGGGACGAGGAGTCGATGCGCACGCTGCTTGCGGTGAGCACAGGAGCCAAGGATTAAGACATGCTTGGAGGATTGACTGTTGTTGCCCCAGGTTGAATATTTAGTAAACTTGCCCTTTTCATTGAAGGGCGAACAAGTCTGAGAGACCCTTCCAGTCATCAGACATGGGCCTGGGTCTTCAAGTACAGAGTGTTCGTCAATGTTTTTTTCCTGGCATCGCGGAGGACTTTGTGATACTAATTGCCTTGGATGCAATCTTTTCCTGGCTCTTTTTCGGCTGTCGTTCGTTTGGCCCTCCCTAGGTTCCTGTCCAGAGGCTTCCGAACTTGGAAGGTGCTAGATTTGGGGCAAGTGGCAGACTCCTTTCAAGCAAGGAAAGGTGCCTTGCATAAGCCCCTGAAAAATCTTCCACAAACCCCTGATATCGTGCAAGCTTACTTGATAACATCGACAATGGCCAGCAAGCGCTGATATTTGACAGGACAGATGTCTTGCTTAATAGAAGCGTGTGTTCTGTCAAAGGTCTCATGAAAGGGTAAACTCGCTGGAGGCGGCCCCTGCCGAAAGGCTCGTCTTGCCTGGACTTAGGGACTAGCATCCATTGAGCAATCCCAAGGCAAAATTCTTTCTGTTGGTCTTTCAGAATGCCCTAGCGCATTGGGAGCAATCTTAAGATTGAGTCGACTCCAGAAGGCTCACTCCTGCTACTCCAACAAGCACACTTCTTTGAGAGCAGGGGGCTGCAACGAGATGATTCGCTCCTTATGCCCGATTGCCGTAATGACTTTTCCTGTCGTGAATGCCTTTTGCACAAAACTTTGCATCTTGGCAGCTCAAGCACCTTCTCTCTTCCTTTTCCTAAAACAAGCCTTTCTGCATCTTTTCCAGGAAATTGACGTGCTGGAAGGGGATGGCCAGCCGGAGGAGGTCCGCTCGCGCGTGCGGCGCCTGCGCCAGGAGCTCCTGGCCCCGCTCGCTGACACCATCATCAGCCAGCGTGACATCATCGCCATCCAGCACCGCAGCTCGGTAGAGCGCGAGCGCCGCGTGTGCGAGGCCATGCTGGCACTGCAGAGCGAACGGGACGCCGCCATCTGGCGCATCCAGGAGCAGATGCAGCCCGAGGTGGCGGCACTTGTGGCCGAGGTGGAGAACATGGCGGCGCAGGCGCAGGAGATGCAGGTGTGGCTAAATCCTCAGGTTTTGGGGGTTTAGGGTCCTAGGGGCTCAGGGTTTTATAAAGTTCTCTTGTGCTTCTTTTAGCCTTCGGTCTTGACCATCTCGCAATTGCAGGGAATGCAAGTGCGGCTGAAATTCTCCATTTCTGGTTTGCCTTTGGTCTTTGAATATCCCTGGAAGTGCATCAATGCAGGTGCGGCGAAAATGCTTCTTTCGTTTGCATTCTTCCTTGTATTCTGCCTTCAGTTTTGGGCAACCTGCAAACGTAGGAAATGTAGTTGCGGCTCAAAAGGCTTCTTTCATCGTTCTTTTCCAGCGATTTGCATCTTGGTCTTGCCTCCTCTGAACCGCAGGACATGCAGGTGATGACATACGAAGCCTTTCCGCTTTCTATAGACTTCGTTGAGTTTGTGGTAAATTTCATTACTGGGGGACGTGCAGAAAGCGCCTTAGCCGCTCAGGTTGCTTTTCAATACGCTTTCTTTGTTTGGTTGAGAGATGAAAGACCGGTTCTGGTCAACCAAATTCCAAACAAATCTAGAGGGGGAGTCGGTTTTGTTATTTTGATTCGTTGTCTGCTGCTTGATGCTCTTTCGAGCCAGCGTTGTCATTTTTTTGGCACTCCTGAGAAGCTCCCGAAACGTTCCAACTTCCTTCCTCAACAACAACGACCTTTACTGCTTCTCGTCTGCTGAGCCGAACCCGGTTCCGACGGGGAAGGTCTTTCAATATGCCGAGCAGAGCTTTCTTGGTTCACTGTCGAAATCTGTCAGGCTGAGGCATTTCCTCGACCACAAACATTACGATTTTGAAAGTTCTCTAATTTTCCTTTCTAGTAGGACTCCTTCCTGAAGTCGAAGCACACCGCCTGCTGCAAGCTTATCAGGTTGCGAGCGCGATGACTGGACCATCCACTTATCGTTCCCTCGAGCAGCCAACCCGTTCGTTTCAATCTGTGCAGGACTTTCTCCTGCCTTGCAGAATTTCGTCTGAGAGCAGGCATATTGGAAAGCAGGCCATTGCTTTCCCGTGATCAGTCCCACGGCAGATCACTCTTGGGAGACCGGAGTTGCACAAGTCACTTTCCGGAGGATCAAACTTCTGCAGATCACTCTCGGGGTCATCAGATTTCCGCAGATCACTTTCGGAGGATCAGTCTCACTAGCAAAGTCACTCGCCTATGGCAGGACTCCCTTCACAAGAGCGAATCCAACCGCTCCAACAGGGACTATCGCCTACGTGCCTCACCTAGAATCACTTTCGGGGGTATCAGTCTGACTATCAGTCTGACTGGCAAACCCGACCCCCCCGATTGCAGGATTCCCTCTACGAGGATGGACTCACCCGCCTCCAGAAAAGACCATCGCTCAAGTTATTACCACCATTCATTTTTGGGAGGATCGATCTGACCGGCAAAACCAGCCCCCTCGCAGGACTCCCTCCACGAAACCGAATCCACCCGCCTCCAGCAGGGAGATCTTCACCATGAATCTAGTTCAGGAGGGGATCGATCTGACTGGCAAATTCCCCCCCCTCTCGCAGGACTCCCTCCACGAGAACGAATGCACCCACCTCCAGCAGACGCCATCGCTCAAATGTATCACCTCGATTCACGTTCGGGGGGATCAATTTAACATGCAATTCCACTCCCCCTCACAGGACTCCCTCCACGAGAACGAATCCACCCGCCTCCAGCAGGAGGCCCTGCTGGCGCTGCTCTTGGAGGAGAAGGAGCGCCTCCTCGAGCGGATCGCCACTGAGGGCCCCCGCGCCGCGCTCCACTGGGCCCGAAACGAGGCCTCGGCACGCGCCGCCCGGGGGGAAGCGCTCCCCGAGTACTGCGAGCGGCTGCTGAGCGACGCGTCGAGCTCCGATTACGATGAAGAGGAGCGGAAGTCCAAGAAGCGGCGGGTGGCGTCGCCGCGGCGGGGGGGGCCGGACGGGAAGACGCTCGTAATGCTGGAGCCGATGTCGTGCATCGTGCCGCTAGGTGAGCTTGAATGCCGGTGGTTGTGAAGATAGCGTAGGTCTTCACATGCTCCAGTGACCTGCGAGGACTTGAAGGTGCGTGAGATTCGATATCACGTGGTCTGCAGGGCGACCGACATACTCGGGATTTTGTGAACGAGTCGCCCGTGCGAATGCGTCCCCGGCCCGCTTTTTGAAAACGAACAGCTTTTCCCATGCGGTGACCTTTTAGCATTGATGCAAGGGTTCGGTCGCAAGGCAGACAGCCCCTCCGGAGAACTGGCGGTCCGTTATTGATGTGCGTGGTTGTGTCGCTTCTTTGTAAGAAGCGTGATGATGCCCCTTCCTTCTCTCGGCTGGTATTGGTTGAATGGAGTATCGCAGGATCCCTGCTGACAAACAGCTGAAAGGTGCTCTCTTCGCCTTTCATTCGAACAGAGCAACCGCTCTCTTTCTGTATCCTCGTCTTAAACGGGAAGCTGGATAGACCTTTCCAGAACACAACCGGAGCAGTAGACGTTCCATCATCCTCATAAGAGTGCAGGCTTACAAGTTTCTTTTATGCGTTTCAATCCTCTCTCATTCTTGGGCGCAGGTTTCGAGGATTCGAAGCGGAAGAAGAACGGTCTTGGACAATTGCTGACTGAGCTCCTCGGCATACGTCCGGATGGGGTCCTCGCATACACGTTAGAGGCCGCTGTGGAGGAAGTTTGGCAGTGTTTGGAGCGGATGTACGAAAAGGGCTTGCCGGCTGGGTTCGTCTGTGCCCCTTACATCCTATACCAAGGTTCGAGCTCGCTTCTCCATCGTTTGCTAAGGCGGTTGTGCTATTCTGCGCTCGTGACCGCTAAGAAACAAGGTGGCTTCGCTTTCCAACTCCTTTAGGCGGTGATGATCAAGCATTCGCTGAACTATTTGCATAAGGTGTTCCTCTTGAAATGGTCACACGTTTGTTAGCATTGGCAGAAACAAAATTAAGTTTGTATATTGTTGCTAGGGTTACATCTGCCAGGCCTGAGGAGGACGACAGTGTTCGAGAATACTATTGCACTGTAAGCGGAAAGGTATAAGAATCCGAATGCAAGGTCCACGTGCAAATTTTGGTCCGGTCCACAGTGGACTTCGGAATGCACGGCCATTTTGACGGAACAATCATTTGATTGGAGTATATGATGTTTGGCAAACCGTTGCCAATCCATTACGTACTTATATATGATACTAAGAGGATAAGGATCCGAACTCAGGCTTCAATTGTCTTCCGGACTGAATATAATACACTTCACACTTCGATCAATTCATCTCAGGTCCGCTTTTGAAGCCTGTTGCCAAAGTAATTAAGCTCTTTCAATGATTTGATGTGGCTTATTTTGAACCGTGAGAACACTTGGACTATACTTCATATGGCAGTTCGGTTAGGCGCAATCGTTGACCTCAAAAAGCGTCAGTTGTTCAACTACTAAACGATATTCGATCGGCATCATGCACGCCGTGACGTGCAATATAGTGACCGGTAGCTTTGGAGTACGTGACTTAACGGGTGAGTGACTTAGGAATCACGAATCCCCGGCGAGCAAACAAAATATAAAAATCTTATAATATATAGCCCATATGATCACCCGCTCCGACGCACCCGAACCGGCCCGAGCCCCACCTAACTACCATGCTAAGCATGCAATTAACCGCGCCCATGGGCGCATGTCCTCGGTCACTATAGCTCGGCTGTTAAGACGGTCACTCTTTATAGTTATACCAGAGTCCCGTCGTGCCAGCAATCATTGATCGGATCGATCATGAGAGTCCAGGCGGCGCGGCCTTTGAGTCGACTCGGATCCCATGCCATGATCGGATGCGCTGCAGCAATTTCAGGCTATAGCGGACGTACGTACCGTCCCAGCATTATATAACGGTGTGTGACCGTCCGACTCAATGATTGTCGAATATAGCTTATTCACTATACATAATTTGCATCCTTGAAGCTGCACCTAGCTACCATTATGCAACAACTAGCTAGCTGTTGCATGCATATGGCGGGCATACTATATATAATGATCGGATCTTTCTGATCCACTATAGCTGTCTGAATGAATGGCTTACGTACGTCGTATTCACGGGATATCTCCATGCATTATTGCACGATCAATTAGAAAAGGGGCAGTAAAAACTAACCCACCCCTGACCATACGTGGACCATACAATGATTGCATGACGTCAATGTGCATGTGGCCAGCTAGCCTGTAGACGGATTATAATTTAAATCTATTATAATCCGTCTGATCAGTACCTTAGTAAGGCTGAACCGCCGTGACTATTAGCATATACCATATTGGGCTGAACGGCCTGCGTGCATTGATCGCATTGCCACTAGCTGAACATGCACCGGCCGGTTCAACGGTTCGCACAGTGCTAGATTTTCCAACTTTTGCGCATCCAATTTTACTGACAGTTCGAGAAGACGCTTTGATCCGGAAATCACATACGATCATTGGGAGAGCCGCGCACGTCCAACAGAACTCCCTGCCACGGCTGTTTTTGGATTAGGGTCGCCAGAATCTTCGCCAGCATGGCCGCCCGCTCGGCCGGCGGTGGTCATGAGGAAACCAGCCAGGAGGTTGGCGGTCCTTTTCTCCCTTGGCGGTGGTACTAACTGGAGCTAGCCTTGTATAGTGCGCCGCAGGTGGTACGTTGTGATGGTTGCCGGTATGCAGTGGTGTTGAATTGGGCGCCCGGCTACATGCAGAGGGCATAGTCCATATCACGTGCTCATCGCAAGTGCATATCACTAGCGCGAGACCATGGCATATGGCTTGTTGGACTGTTCGACTGTATTTCCATGATTGACCTAGGTAGCAATGCAGTGGGATAGAATTCAAATCCGTGAACCTGGAATGAATCAAGACGTCCTGAGTCGATGACGTCCGGAGGCATTCTCGCGCCCTTAGTGTCAGAGTGGCCGACCCCTATTCAAAAACTTTTCGCCGTTGTTTAATCTGCGATGGGCCCGCCGCCCTCGTCGCACAGGCGTTGAGTCGATGGTGCGGCGGCAAACTTCATTGAGATTGGAGCAAGGACCAAAGGCTTTTGAAAAGTTTTGAGAATCAAAATTGACTGATGTCGATGTGCTATTATATTGATGTACATCCAAATTATACCGATATCGGTCACCGATGCATGTCAACGTAAACGATCGGTCACATGTCAACAGATCGTTGAAAGCAGTCAAGAAATGTCGAGTGTCTAATGAGCTATTCGACAAACCGTTTGTAATACTTTCGAGTTATCACATGCGCTACATGTTGGCTTTGAAGGGAGAAAGGGAATCGGTCAGTTGTCAAAGCCGTCAATAGTACGGACTGACGTCTAGAGAACTTTTCACAGCCTAATTCTCGACCATTCGGACAAGCAATCTATGTCTCCAATTTGGATGAGAATCTGTAGTAGCGGTCGATCTAGTAGCTACCATCTACTTTCCAATAGAATGACTCGGAGTCAGTATCTACGATCGCAAATAAATCCAGTTGCCTGGCTGTTTATTGTCGTTGCCAATTACCTAGTTAAGCAGATCCCGGGCAGATCATCAGTACTAGTAATCAAGAATGACTAAACAATGCTTAAACCAGAATTAGTATCTTTCCTGCATAAATACAATTAGTAAACCAGGATTAGTTCCTTCAATCAACAGGAGGGTCGGGACTCTGTTCACATGGCTAGTCCCTGACAAGCTGCCTCTTGCTTGCCTACACTGAGTTTAATGATTCGCACTCTGCCCCCACGAGCCCGCAGCATTACCTTGATGATCAGCCTCCTCGGTTTCGTCTTAAGCACTCAAATGGTTATTCATCACGTGAGTACCACTCTCCTCAGTCGCGCGAGTGGCAGTGTTCGACTGAGGGCGCGGGGGAGCAGGCAGCTCCGACGGATGGCGCGATGGATCAGGCAGCTCCGACTGCGAGCGCGATGGATTAGGCCGCTCCGGCTCAGTCGCGGGAGCTGTGGCAGCAGGCTCCGCCGTCTGAGGAGGAGCAGTCCTCGACTGCGTCGCGGCGTCCGCGGCTTCTTGGATCTGCTTCAGCGCGTCTTCCTTCTGCTTCTTGAGCTCGGCCGCGATCACCAGCGGCAGGGCCGTAGTCCCCTGGGACGGGGCGTCGAACGGCCACGCCTCGCCCGGTTTGGGCGCCGGCAGGAACCCCGCGACGACCGCCAGGACGACGCCAACTACAATGGGCAGCACGCGCACGACGCTGTCGGGGATCTTCCCCTTGAAGAGGCAGCTGGTACTCGACGGCGACAGGAGCGCAAACGTCAGAAACGCCGTGATGCTCAGAGCCGAGCGGGCGTAGTGGACCGCACTCCGCGAGACTTGGCCGGTGCGTGCGGTGTTAGCCCGCTCCTGCGCGCGGTCTGCGGCCTTCCGACTTGCTTCCGCTATTATTTTCAAGTCATGGACCGCTTCCCTCTTGGTGCTGAAGGGCTCCTGTAACGTCGACCCCGCCTCCAGGGCATTCACTTCCGAATTGAAGGCGCCTACAGCCTCTGTGTACTTGTCCCAGTCTTTTAAAGCCTGTTCTAGGGCAATGTTGGCTTCATTGCGGGCAGCCTCCGCACTTAACTGCGTTGTTGTCCTTTGCCAGAGGAGGAAGGAGTATGCGGGGTCAGCACCGTAGTTGAAGACCACGAACGGAGCTAACATGCAAATCACTCCCAGGACCCTGCATAAAAACAATCCACTCACGTGCTTTATGCTCTTTCGAGTCTGTCGTGGATTAAGCTTAGCAGGGCCCAGATTACCTGTGGGCTCGCCCAAAGAAAAAGCAAGGCTCTTGTACTAGGATCATCTGTACTCATGGGGCTTCTTCGAACTATCACTCTCTATGAAGCGACTCATCAGACGGTGTTCAAGTGCACTGCAGGTTTTATATTGGAGCCAGACGGGATTCTTGACTGACGCTAGCCCAACTTGCGCAGACCTTAGCCCGTACTTCTGATGTCATCCACGTTTTAGAGCTCACCAATTGTACAGCTTCCAGCAATTAACAAGATACTAGTTCGAGTTCGGAACATCTATATGGGCAAGTTGTCAGTATCACTGGGCTTAGGCAATGGGGTAGGTAGACACCACGCATTGAGAACAAGCATCAGAGTGAGCACTACTATGATCTGGCAGAAGAAGCGGATTCTAGGGTGCTGTTTGAGTAGCAGTAAGCTGACTTAGGCCACCAGTAACAGCTCCTGGGTTTAACAACACGCATACCAGCGTACGCTCATGGCAAGTTTTCTGATGTCTGCTTTTCTGTTTGACAAAAGTCAGACGTTTGTGTTGTTGACATTGAATCAAAGCAATATGCAGTGATAGAACAAGAGGTCCTTGCCGTCTGAAAAACAAGATCGGAAAGTTATGGCCCGCAAGAGATGTCCCAGAGCGACGAGCTACAGCTATTATCCGCTCATCATGTTCCAAGAGATTCATAGAAATCAGTCCCAACAAACAGATAGTACAGTCTCTGGGGCCTCACGCAATAATCAGGCTGAGCAGCCCTCTGGTGCTTGCAGCAACGGGAACCTTGTCAAAGTTGCATACGGAGTCGATGGCTCCTGTCTCATTTGAGAAAACCAGTGGAACCAGCACGCTGTAGACAGTGGTCGTGCCTGTCAAGGATAAGGCAGCAGAGTCAGCACTCTTGGACTAGCTCAAGATCAAGCGCTGGCGCACTCAAGAGCAAGCAAGTCTGGAGTACCCCCATTTCTTCGCTGAAAAAAAATCTCTTTTCTTCTTCGCTCCACTCCCTATCGGGAGCGAAGAGCCACTCCCGTCCAGGGAGTGGAGCGGAGCAGGGGGACTTCCGAGCCAAAATGCAAAATGTCCGCTTATTGTATACTTGGTATAAGCTAATTCAAGGATAACATCTTTTGAATAAAAACCCGTCAAGAAGGGAAAACCAATAAGTGCTAAGCTTCCAATAAGCATCATAGCATAAGTGAAAGGTAAGACTTGGTTCAACCCACCCATCTTACGCATATAAGGTCTTGTGATGCCTTTGTTTGACCACCCAATCTGAACAATCAAGCTTCTATTTTGTGGAGCTTAGCAGAGACTTTTCTTGTGAGCCATTGGATAGATCGGGGTAGATGAAACATTAGTAGAGGTGCGTCAGCCCCAAGTAACCAAATACAAACGCGATGGACTTTCAGCTCCTTGCAGATCCTGAGTTCCTGCTCTTATTGTCAATTGCTGAGTATCCTGACCTGCAAATGCCTCCAGCTTTCAGACCAGATCTAGGCTTGATGCATCATGCAGCAAGCTCTTTCATTTGGAGCCCACTATTCAGCCCACGTTCACCAGCATTACTATGATCACCAGAGCGCCTTGCCGCCCACCGACGGATCAAGCTCCGACCCTGATAAGCAATGCTGACTGAGCTTCTCAGCAGATTTGTATTCTAGATTGTACAGGTTATATTGTGCCCTTTAAGCTTCAATCCGGAATGCTGATTTTCATACACAGCGGGCAGTACATTGCGCAATGTTGAACAGCTGAGAGCGCTGCTTCCTCTATGGAGTCCGCAAGAAAAACATGCAGAATTTAGTTCCAGAATTGATGGGAGGGCCTCTTCCAGCCTCCGAACATCCCACGAATTGCAGATGTCTCCAGTCCCTTGCCACCTCACCTATGGGCATATATGTCCCCAGGTTCTTGGCGACGGAGCTGAGCGCCGCCATGAAGCACTTCCGGCTGAACTTGACCGATTGAAGCTTTCGCCAAATGTTCCCCACGTTAAGCGGACCCGCACCGCTGCAACAAGACAGTGCCAGGCCGGCTAGACCTCACGCGCTTCCGGCGCGTTGCGCCGCTGTTGGCTGCGAGCGTCTATCTTTTATCAAGGCAATGCAGGGCTGATTGGTAGCTGGCTAGTAAGATCTGCAAGCAGCAGCTTTCTGGGGGGACAATAGTGGGCGGAACAATAATGGGAGCTAAGCTTTTTAATGATTGTCTTGGGGGAGAATGAACGCAATGCTGAGCTTTTAGGTTGTCTACCTGGCTTGTTCAGTTGTCCGCCGGCTTTGCAGCATAGGCATGCTACCGTCGATCCCGCTGAATCAGACGGAGAGAAACTTCGTTGGAGGAAGAGGGACGATCCCGAATGCAGGCAGAGGGACTGCTGTTCATCAGAAGCATCCGAGAAGCCTCATCCTGAATGTATCATGTTGCCTCGGTGCGTCGACCTAGGACTCCAGGACAGCACTGCAGGCTAGCTGCTGACAGAGAGCTCAGCAGTCGTCCCTCACCGCATTAAATGCTCACAGGTGCTCAAATAAACCAGCATCCGTACTTTTGGGACCTAGGGCAGAGCCCTGACAGTACTGGTCGACTGAGCATAATTTGTTTGCTGAGACTGTGACATGTGCTCAACGTTATTACCTAGCTGTCTGCAGCAAGTACCTAGTACGGTAGGATACGAGTCTACCGGTAGTCACTAGATCTCAGTGCAGTACCATACCAGTACCTAGATCGCATGCAGTGTACGGCAGGTCAGATGGGGTCAGAAATCAAGATACGGGATCGTCCTCGTGCCACTGAGTCCTGGGCTGTGGCAGCTGGCTGCATGAAGAAACTCGGGAGTCCACTGGAGTGCGAGTCTTGAACCTGTCATGTACCTGACTCTTGTACTTCTTGGCAGATAGGGACAGGCTAGGGACTTATTACAGTCACTTGCTCATGCAATGCTGCCAAGTGGGTACTAATATACCGTAGACTGTCAGAGTTCCGCCTTGAGTACCGGTACTTCAGGCGCGGCAGGTCAGTCCAGGCAGCCAGATGTGCGTCCTGAGTTCTTAGGGTACCGGTCTCCGAATTCGCGAATCTATTAAGTGGGGCCGGCTGCTTTCGGAGGGAACCCGTCAGTAGCAGCGGCGGTACGTATACCGTACCTTAGTACCTACTTTAGTGGCAGTCGCTGCTCACCAGTTTGCACGCACTGAGGTACGGTACGTGCACGCAACTTGGACAGACTCAAGAGGACTTCAAGCAAGCAAGTCGCCGGTTCTTGCAGTCAGTTGTCGGGGTGCCGGAGCGGCCGGCGGAACCTGCATGCAGCATGTTGCCTCGACCGCTCCTCGCCGGTCGGTCCGGAGTGACCTAGGTACCGTACAAGTCTAGACTCTACCGAAGTACAAATGCCGGTCGATGATTGACGGTATCGTACTGTACGGAATCGATCCGCCGGCGACCCTAGCTGCCGCCGGATACTGCCGGCCAGTAAATGGTGAACCCGATCAATACCAGCGGCGACCGAACGGCGACTTGTACGGTATTAAACACGCTACAAAAGTACCGTACCTAGTTCGGTCACCTGCCAGTTGGCCCGAGTCCACCCTGACCGTTGGATAGTCCCGATCGGCGGTCCAATCACCGCCGCGGCGGCGGCCTACGCGCAGCGCGTCGTGGGCGGCCGCCGGGCCGCAGCCTCGGGCCGGGGCGGCCGCGCCTGCCAGGCAAGCCGCCCGCGACCGTCCACGCAGTACTGGCACAGGCATGCAGGCCGCCAGCTGGCTGATGTAAGTTACCACACTAGCTCGAGGCTCACGTGTTGACGAGCGCGGACTCCGGCGTTTGGGCGTTGCCAACTCGAATGTTTAGTTTCAAAAATGACTTCATCATCTAGCATATAATTATGAGGCGCGCCAGGCGCCCACGATGCAGCCATGATGCATACGAGCCCGTCAGAGTCAGGGCAAATTATGCGCTGCTATGAACCGCAGCTGAGCTGGAATTGCTAGCTAGCTGGACCGAGGGGCTTGAAGCTTGACCGTGGGCCGATCTTGATCGGAGGCCCGGTGAAATCAGTGAAACGTCTTGTGCCACCAGCGCAGCCTCTCGGGCCGCGCCAATTATAAGGCAATACGCGAAGCGCACGAGAGATTGGTGATGTGAATACGAAGTATTAGCTAGCAAAATACTGGCAGATTGCTGATTCCAAATGGAACGATAGTAGTATCATTTCTTTTGTTCTGACCACCGTTGAAGTGCGCAGTCGCATGCAGTTCTGGGGCTTACACAAGACCGTTCACTTGTCGGTGGCCAGGCGAAAATGAGCTAATTTCTTCGAAAGGTCATTCTTCTCTCCTTTCATCGTCGGATGCTATTTATTCTATGGGTCCAGTCCTTCTATAAGTTATAGCAAATCGGCATATCGAAGAACTGGCCGTTAGGTGAGAGAGCATTTTCGGGGAGTTGAGTTCTAACCGCCGTAGCAGTTTCAGGGGAAAATTTAGACAGTCGAATTGAGATGCTCTATGTTTGTTGCCTCTGCAGAAAAGCAGCTTGCGCCTTTACTGAACTGGGGTTCAATTCGGCTGATTACCAAGGATTCCGTGCAATCTCTACAGAGGAGCAAACTTCGAGAAGACTTCGGCTCCCGGAGAACGTTTCGAGGACGTGAGAATTTGCTCAATTTCTTGAGTTGCGCCCGATGACCGATAATTCATAAAAATTAATCAGCCAAGATAATAAGCTCCGATTAAAAACTTCCTAACGTACCCAAAAACATACCTGCTCCGCACTCAAACCCACCCCAACCACCGAACTAACCCTACCCGTTCCAGTCTAATCACCTTATTATTATCTCGGGGTTTTGTTATCTTTCTTGAAATCATTCAGTGACCGCCCGAGAAACTTTACGGTGTGGTAATTATCGCCAGAGGTGGAGCTCATTTACAGTCTGTCTCGAAGCAAGATCCTGACCGGGGATTTGCTTTTCTTGGAGACACGCGAGTTGCAGGATCAAGATGCGTCGCGTTGCATCGACTCTGGGTAGGTGTGAAATTCAGAGACGCGAAGCGCTCTCCATTACAACTTCGATAAGCCCTCGCCGTTACAGTCGTCTCTGAATCTTGTGACTTTTCAGTTCTTGCTTCTTCGCTCAAGGAGCCCGCTAGTCCCAAGCGTTTGGTTAGCGACATCCGCAGTACCAAGTGTGGTTCTTGGAAGGGGCGCATAGGACTGACTAACGCACATTCTCTGGCCGAGCGTTGGGTCGAGGGCTTTTCTTCAACGAAGAGGCGCCAGGAACCTTTCGTCAGCAGAGCGAGCGCTTGCGAGAGCTTTAGCAACCGTGTAATTATTAGAAGAAAGGAGGTTTCAGAAGCGGGGAGGAAAGAGACGCTTCAGCAGCCGAGGTGAGGGCCGAGGGACCTTGACGTTGTTTGTGTGTTTGAAAAGGGTTCTCTTGATTGTGTTTTAGCTGTTTTTGGTTCTTTTACTAGAACTTGTTCCAACACGTTGTATCACAGACTAAAAATCACAAAGGCTAGTTGTAAAACTGATAAAATGGTTTCTTAGATGCTCCAGGAACTAACAGGTTCTTGCTTGAATTGCCGGCTGCATCAAAAGCAGATGGGCTGTAGTCTAACTCTCAATCAAAAGCTTCACAGTCAAGAGCGTCGAGAAAGAAAAACTTCTTCGATTGGATGCTTCCACTGAATGAGTACTTCTTGCTTTTTAAAACCCAGGACGTATTTTGCGGCCGATCATCTTAGCTTCAATTGATTTATCAGCACACTGAAAGTGAATCAGATGGTGTCATGAAGCGCTGTACTAGATGAATTTGTATTCGTCCGTGCTGTGAAGGGACTGTTGTGAAGAAGTTAAAACTTCAAAAGCTCTGCCTTGATACGGCCGTCGTCGCAAAAGCCAGCTCAAACACTAAACTGTAAAGATGGAAAATGTACAGCAAAGAGATCACAAAGCTACAAAAGTCATTCCGCCCAAAGTGGCTTTTCCCTTTCACCAAAATACTTTAGTTGGGCACAATCCTGAGAGCAAAATAACAGATTCCCAAATTGAAATTGACAAATGTACTTGCGCTGCTTCGCAGGTGAATCTTCTGCAGTTTAAAATGGGTCCTCTCAAGCTGCCCAGAAACATCTTCCTCGTCCTCTTCCTGGCAATCATGACGTGCCACGTGTCCTGCTTTACGATCTCCGACCTCCAGAAGCTGACGTCAGTCCGGCTCTCGAACGAAACCTCGCTCGACCTCTGCACCGACCCTAAGACTGCGAATGCGCTCTCGGGGCCTATTCCCATCGAGCTCGGGCTGCTGACGAAGCTGACGTCACTCCAGATATGCAACCAGAACCTGACCGGGGGGATCCCCCCGCAGCTCGGGCACCTCACCGGACTAACCATGCTTAACCTCACTGGTAACCGCCTGACCGGCGTGATCCCAGTGGCGCTCGCCGGGCTAACCCTCCTCAAAACCCTAGCGCTGCAGAATAACCAACTTTCGGGGGGGATCCCTCCTGCGCTCGCCGCAATCCAGAATTTGGAGAATCTGGTGCTCTACAACAACAGCCTTTCCGGTGGGATTCCGGCGGAGCTGGGCGGGTTAACGCGCTTGACCAACCTGTTCCTGCAGAACAACTCGCTGTCGGGTTCGATGCCCGCCAGCCTCGGTAACCTAACCCAGATGCAAACCCTCGTTTTGGAGTATAACCAGCTCACCGGGCCGATTCCCACCGAGTTCGGGGGCCTTCTTCAAGCTTCCCTCCTCTCTCTCGCGGCCAACCAACTGACCGGAACCATCCCCCGGTCACTCCAACTGATGGTCAACCTGCGTAACCTGTACCTTCCAAACAACAACCTGACCGGGGCCATTCCCCCTGAGTTATCCCAGCTAACCCGCCTCGAAACCCTAAACCTAGCGGGAAACGCGCTTTCGGGCCCCATCCCGCCGTCGCTAGCTAACCCTCCTAACTTAACGAAACTAATTCTGGTCAACAACGACCTGACGGGTGTTATTCCCCCCGGCTTTCTCGCCCGCTTCGGCTTTGCCAACATTCTGCCCGGTAACTCCCAACTGAGCGTCTACGGCAGCCCGGGTAACCCTCCGTTGACTACTGCCCCTAATCCAGCGCCGAACCCACCTTTCCTGGCAAACCCCCCGTCCATTTCCGGCCCCCAATTTCCACCGGAACCCCCTTCCCCAGCCCCAAACAATTCCGCCGTCGCCTCAGAACCCTCCGTTAACCCGGGCGCGTTAGGCGTAACCCCCTCGCCAACCGAAACCCCGAAAGCCGAGGACACGCATCCGCGACTGGTTGTGACGGCAGTAGTCGTCACGAACGTGTGTCTCGTCACTCTATTTATTACTTTGGCGGCGGTGTTCTACTACCGGCGGAAGGCCAAGCGTAACGCGCGAGCGGCCGGAACGCCGGACGTGGAGCTCGGGAAGGACGAGCCGCGGCCGGCCGCGCCCGCGGCCGCGCTGGCTGGCGCGCATTCGCCGAGCTCTGACAACAGCATGTGAGCAAGCATCTCGCAATCTCTGAGCGTCCTTAAGATGGTCACAATAACGAGATTGAACGAAAGAAAGATTGAAAAAAGCGAATACGTAGTACTACTGGATCCTTGAGAAGGCTTAGGCGACCTATTCGAAACACTCTCCTTTGTCCTGCTTTTGCTCGACTATGTCCGTCGTGAGGTACCACGAGTTCCGTTTGCTTATGTATCAAAGCTAGCTTATCGTTTCTGGCTTCTGTCGAAGGAGTAACACCGATGAGTAGACAATTTCCTGCGCCTTTCATGTGCGACACGTCCAAATTATATGCTCCTCAATGTGCGGGTTGATAGTGCTCGATCCTCCGTTGCACCCAGTTCAATTTTCTTCCTTCTAACTCCTGATCGATAGCTTTTTTCGTGTCTGTGTCTCATCAACTCTCACCTATTTGTCCACGTGCGTCCTCCACGGCTTCGTAGTAAGAAACAACTCACTCACATACTTTCCGACATATTTTCTGACATCGTTCTTCTGAGAATTTGTCGTACAATTGATTTTCACACGTCCTCGAACATTCATCCTCATCCTTGCTTGCCAGGTTTTCGACGTCTGACTCGTCCCCCCCGGCTTTCTCGATGAGCGGCAAGGAGCCGCCCGCGCCTCCGCCTGCGTCTGCGCGCACGCGCGCGCGCATCGTGCCTCCAGAAGACCTACCCACCCCGGCCTCGCTCTTCCATCGAACTTTCTCTCTAGCGGAACTCCGCGAAGCAACCGAAAACTTCAGGTATTCATTTATCCATTCATTTTTGCATAGGATTTTAATTGGGAGAGTTTTGGAAATTGCCTAGTAGAAACTTCCGATTTTCGAGGAAATCGTGAGTTTCATATACCTGTTGCTCCTCTTCAACTCCCGATGGCTCAAAAACGTGTAAAGGTCTGGAATCCGCTTGACTGCCTCTCGCTCTTCTGTCGAGTTCGCTTATGCGCCGCGCTTCTCGGCAGGTAAGATGTCACGCTTTGGAAGAATCCATAAGCGCATCAAACGACCGGACTTCTGGTACAGGAAGTTTTGGCTGCTAACCAGGCAGACTATCACCCTGGAGGCTCGGGTTATTGGACCATTAACCGGGCTTTCACCTTGTTCAGCGGCTGGTCAGCGCCCAAGTCTGGTCACTGGACAAATAACCAGTTTCTAACCGGCCCAGAACCTTCCTTGGTTAAGGGCCAACAACTCCTGTGATATAACCATGTTTATGTCGTGCAGTCCCAATAACCTCGTCGACAGCGGCTCTTCAGCGACAGTCTACCGCGGCTCCCTGCCCGACGGGTCGCCCGTCGCGGTCAAGCGCCTAAACCCCGACGGGGGTTTGGACGAACGCGCGTGGCGCGCGGAACTCGCCGCGCTGAGCAAAGCGCGCCACCGAAACCTCGTCCCTCTGCTCGGAGTATGCGCCGAAGCGGGGGAGCGCTTATTGGTCCTCGAGTACTTTTCGGGGGGGAGCCTCCGGCAGCGTCTCGGTGCAGGAGCGACCCCCCTGACCTGGGACGAACGCGTGAACGTGGTTGAGGGGGTGTGCCGCGGTCTGGCGTATCTACACCACGACATCACTCCCCCACTGATCCACAGGCAAGAAGTCTACTTCCGGCGCGAAGCTTCTTCATCTGCAAGTGCTCTGTCTTCGTACCTTTACCGTGTTTGTGGGTCTCTTCTGCGGGCAATCCTTGTGACTGCTCTCAAGTGCTTATGTCTTTCAGTCTTGCGTGCTCCCTCTTTCTCTGAATCTGGACTTTCTGCCGCTTTCTAGATCACCACCCGCTTTGCAGATACTACCTGTATCGTCTCACTTACAAAAACAAATCCCAAACATACCTGTCTCAAGCCGCTCACATTGTAATGACGGGCTGCATTTATTCCAAACCGCTCGACCGGAAACGAACTACTGATGTTGCATTCTGCAAGTTTGACGTGAGCGACTCTGCTTTCGATGCCCACACCCTGACTTGAGCAACATCTCCTCTCTCTGTGTACAGAAATGTCAAACCCGCGAACGTCCTGCTGCGCGGGAGCGGCCGCGCGCTCGACGCGTGCATCGGCGACTTCGGCCTCGCGTGCCTCGTCCGCGACAGACACTCGGACGTCCTTCCGTACGAAACCCCGGCCGCGGGGTCCAAGTTCGTGTCCGCGAAGCGTGACGTGTACAGCTTCGGCGTGCTGGTGCTCGAGATTCTGACCGGACGTCCCGTTTTTGAAGGTGTGTAGAGAACTGGGTCACAAACTTTCCAAAACTTCCTGTCCCTTAAGATACTTCTGTAGATTAAAGCATTGAAGACAGCGGATCTGTGGAAGTGTCACATGTGAAGCTGTGAACATCTGCGATCGCTCCCCTGTTTTTTTGTGCAGTCACGAAAGCCTGCTGAGCACTCAAGCCGGATGCATCCGAGAAGCTAGAAGGCTTGGATTCGTGACCTGTGATTTTGAATGGAGTCTCTATGTGCTCTCTCGCGGACACTAGAGTCCGTGTTTCATTGCTTTGCTATTTCCAAACGAACTCTGACTTTGAAGAGGTATCATGGTCTAGCCGTTGAAACTTACTCCAAGGTACGTTGATTATCCTCCGCTTCGGTTTGAGGTATACCCCTGATCAGTTCTATTACCTTCGACCGCTTCCTCTCGAAACGATTTCCGCAGCAGACTTGACACCTTTCCCTTCCGTTTCAAACGTACTGACTAAAATCTGCTCACCTTCAGCTTCCGCTTTGAAGAATTCATGCGCTGCAATCTGCTTCCGTCCCTTTTTCCTCCGCTGCAATCTGATTACCTTACCCTTCCGTTTCATACGTACTTTCCGGCGCTCGAAATCCGTTCCGCTTCTGTTTGCAGCCGCCGGAATCGCTAACGGCGCGCCCGGCGACGCGGAGGCCCTCCTCGAGGCGGCATCGCGCGCGGTGCTCAAGGATGGCCAGGGTTTGGAAGTTTTGGACCCCGCGATCGCGGACGCGTGCGACGCGCTCGAGGCGGAGCGCTGCATCAGCATTGCGCTCGAGTGCTTGCAGCAGGTGCACCGTTCTATAAGTTTTTCCTTTTTTTGGACTTGGCTTCAAAACAGTATCTCCTAGCCCAATGCCAAACCCCAACCCTTGGATAACCTGCTCCGCGAAAATACCCACCCTAACCTCACCGGTTAACCTCAGACGCCCAGGGCTGGCCGATCTACTATGTAATACCTAGTTTTCATTAATTGAAGACTTCACAAGTGCAATTCTAATGTTCTGACATCAGAAGTTGGTCGAATCTTGCGATCTTCGATTCCGGAAAACGTACGATGAGAGCGTCGGGAGGTCGAAGTCAAGTTTGGAACGGCTCAAGAAGGATCGAAAACGCTCGTCAACATTTTCAAGAGTGGTTTGGCACTTCGCCTCATTTTGTTCCTTGTGGCTGTACAAGTTTCAAAAAAAGCCGTTCGGTTGAAGTACGAAGGGCTGACTTCGAAGGTGGTTAATCGACTGCAAAGCCCGGTGCCTGTGAGTCGAAGGAAGACAGTCTCTGGTAGGGGGAGAGACTGAATCAGAAAGTTAGGTCCTTCCCAAACGCGTATCCGGTGCCCGGTTGCATGAGGCGGGTTACATCTGCGGTTAGTTGGTGAAAGGTCTTGGCCTTTGAAGCAGTCTCCGTGAATATGTGTGAAGGCATCCAACCGTAAATCTCGATAGACTTATCAAGTTCATGCGAACGATTACTGTTCATGCACCTGTTTTGGAATCCGTTACTCGAGCACTTAACATTGTTCCCGTCTGAAGTGCGATTTCACATTGCTGTTCGGCACGCCTAGCTAGATCTGGGCGCTTTCAACGAACAATGAGAGTTAAATCCCGGGTTGAATGGTTCCGGTTCCGCCAGACCCACATCATTCCGTTTCCGCCCTTCCACAGGTCCCCGACTCGCGCCCGACCATGGAGAGCGTCAACCTGCGCCTCAAGACCATGCGCTCGCGCAGATTCATGCGCCAGAGGTCGGGTGTGCCCGGTGCGTCGCCCCGGTTTGCCAGTCCGCGCGCGGAGGTGGTCGGGGCGTCGCCCCGGTACTACAACGCGCGCGCGGAACTGACCGGAATGACGAGCGCTCGCGCTGAACTGCCCGGGATGGCGAGCGCGCGCGGAGAAGTGGTCGGGGCGTCGCCCCGGTACACCAGCCCGCAGTCCCGGCGGACCATCGGGATGTCGCCCCGGTATGCCACCCCGCCGTCGCGCTGATAATTATGTGCGCGTGCGCGGCCAGCGCCGCGCGCGGGTTTGGTTAACCAGCTTCTAGCAGTGGCTTTGAAACCCTTGAGGTGGAACCGGAATGGGAAAAAGGCGGATGGAATATTAGGACCAGAGACGGGCGTGCGATGAATTACACGGCAAGCGGACGGAAACGTGAGGATTGGACGACCCGTCTTTATGAAGCCTCTGAGACCCGGGAGCACTAGCTAAGCTTCGTAGTGTGCCCTTCGTGAAAATTTCAGTCGGGTCCATCAAGTTGGACAATAACTTAAACATGCGTGATTTGGTTTTATTTGTATTTATTGGTCAAGCGACCGGAAACCGCAGAAGTGACACGTAGTCAGAACGGCCACACTTACGTAAGAGCTGAATAGTTTTGAGACTTGCACAGAAGAAAGCCCATCAAGCGCACCGTGAGAACGCTAGAACTCACTAATACTTAGTCAGATGCGACATCCTCAGTAGTTGTGACAATTGTGACTATGTATGTTGTCATTGTATTATGGAAATGGACCTCAAAGACATGCGATTTCTGGACCAGGATTGAACGGTGGAAACATGTGTCGGATTGGATCATGACATGCTGCTGCAAAACCAGGATCGGAGAGCTTTCGTGTCCATATAACATTTCTGGTTCTTGAAAAGTGCTTTGAGAGTAATAGTGAGATGGAAACTGGAAGGTGATGTTGGTCGCTCAACGTAAACTTCTGCTTATCCAAACTCCATGCATATAAAACGGGGAGCATTGAGTATGTTGCCAGCGTTAGACCAGGCTTTGTGCGTCATTTCCCGCCCTCGTATCGTATCGTCGACTCGGATCCGAGTTGGCATTATTACAAAGGACCGTCCGCAAGGTGCCTTCAGCCCATCTTCATCTTTACAAGTTCTCACCATAAAGAATTAAGCACACGCTCTACTCGATTAATGAGCGCTAACAAACATCACCATCTGGAGCATTGAACGGTTGAGCATTCTTGCGAATGTTGTATCACAACGCCTGCTATTTCTCTAGCCTACGAAGCCTACCGAACGCGAGTCCCCTCTGTTGTGACTCAATCGCCCAGGTGTTTTCTGTCAGCTCCCACGTCATCCCGCTCTTCGCTCCCATTTCGGCCCTCTCAAAGTCGATCCAGAAAACGCCCCTGTGCCCACTCATGCTCGTCCCTCGTACGAGGTTCCGAGTTCCGACGCTCCCGTGAAGTACCCGTTCTCGTGCACCAATTTCAGCTTACCACGAGCTTCGATTTTAAGCCTATCGCTTGACCGGGCCCGGGGTTTCTCAACCGACTTTCCGATACCGATCTGCTCGGTGGCGATGAAGGCGGCGCCGCAGCAAGTTTCGCGCACACGAACTGCACGTGCGCGAGCATCCGTTATATATATAGCGCGTGCGAAAACCCTGCAACGAATTCTAGCGAAGGCAAGCTTTCGATCCCGAGAGGCGCTTATCGCGCAACTCTGCCGCCAACAATGCCCAAAGCGAGGAGTGGTTAGTAGGTAATTATCCTCTCCCTGCTTCCCTGCACATCCTCAGCCCTCTGATTCTTTTGATTCTTTTGTCTCAGTGAACTGCATAAGCACAGCAGATGTTGTATCAGATCTATCTTGTACGCCCCAACCAGTTCAAACGGCCAATGAGCCGATCAAACCCCTTCTAAAACATACTGGCGACATCTGTGTTCACTTAAGCTTGTGTTCACTTAAGTATCCGCCCGGGGCAAAAACGAACTAAAAACCTAAACTAAAAGGATTACACGCTTCGCACCCGTACCCACCCTAACCACCAAACCAACCCTATCCGTCGCCGGGACCTGTTCTTAAGTGAACACGGCCCTAAGTGAACACAAATGTCGCCAGTTTTTCTAAAACCCTTTGATCCAACGTCACCAGCTAAAGCCACCAGGAAGCGTCCAATCAAAATGCTTCCCAGCCGGATAATGATACACTCTTTACGTGCTCAAGTCCACGTCATCTTTCCGAAACCCTGCCCCCCGCCCTTGCTCGTCGGGCAGGCCGCGGTAGAGGCGGCGCGCGCTACCAGCGCACTTTCGCGCGACTCCGAACACTTCGCGCGAGTCAAAACAACCGGGTTTCATACCACCGTGCGCAGGTAATTACATTATAACTCGCGCCCAAAGCGACCGAGTGGGCCCGGCCAGTCACCATGTAAACAGCTTTGAGCTTACCCGGACCGTTACTCCTCCGATGCTCTGAAAAGTAGAGACTTGCAAACTTGAGGACAAAACACGGGCAAGACACCAGAGCTAAAAGCAGAGCGTTCTTTCTGCAAATTGGGCCTTGGGACAACTACGGTGTTCTAGCTAACGATCGCTTTCATTGACCTAGTAGTACCGTCTCCGACTAAGCCTGTCCCATCCAACCCCCCCCTTCTTAATTTCTCCTGGATCTCCTCTTTCCTTGAGTGGACTGTCCAACGACTGAGTCTGACAGCTTCTGAAGTCTAGTGACGCAAGACCAAGACCTGACCATTAAGATCCTTTCTCCCATTGGGACTACTCCATGTCAGGTACAGGGAAACCCTTGCCATATTTATATAGATCAACTACCACGCCATAAAGGCCGCAAGGATGACAAGAACGTTTTAATAAATTATAGCAGGCTATTCTAGGAAGGACTCGAAAGCTGGCCTTAATTTCTGCTAATAAATCTTGGAATGTCTTTCTTCACTGTGTCACTGATCCACATGATGATGAAGTCTGGTGCATCATCTCTTGCATATGCATGATCGTTTGGCAGTCACCAGGCCCGGTCCAGATTCAAGCAAGCAACACGATCATAATTAAGAGTGATATTTAGCTCCATTGGGGCTCCATTGACAGTAGCCACGAGCCTCAGAACCATCTCAAATGGTGAGAAATCTTACAGGATAGGAACGTCACTGGACACTACTAGGACAATGTTACTTACCAATGACGCTCAAGCGATCAAGCCACTGGATAATTGAGTTGCATGTAATAGGAATCTTCCGTAATTTTTTTAGGCTCCACTCCATGAGTTCGTTCAGAGAAGCTCCGAAGGCTCAATGGTTGAACTTGCCACTCTTGCCTTCACAAATCACTCAGCAGAAAGTTCAGCTTGTTGCAGCAGAAGCTTCACGTTGCATTTGACCATCAGTACTATGATGTCAGCCAAAATGCCGCGCGCCATCAGATGCCATCGATCGATGAATCACAACCATTCAAGCATATGCATGTAGAGCTGGCGTACGGTGCCAGAGGAATGAATGAAGCTGGATGCACTGGACGGTTCTTCATCCCGCAAATATGAGTGATAGATATTCTGCATCAGTCTAATTATGTAATTCTGCTGCTCAGGCTTTGTCCGACGTTCATACTACTGGATCAGCCTTTGATGTGCCTAGGCCCAGGGCGGCGGATTGGCAATAACGGTATCAGTAAATGCACCGACTCATCGGAAGCGGATGATCGGGATCGGAATCGGGATGCGGCAAGCTCCATGGGGCCCGCAAGGCTACGTGGCACAGTCTGATTTGCTCCGAAAATAAGTCAAACTGCAAATCGCCAAAACGGCACCGTTCGACACGGAGTTTCGAACTGATATCTGTCGGCTCCGGGGCTGACTGGTCACGGGTCCCACCCGTCGATCTGGTCGGCTAGTCTCACCCGACCACCTAAAATCTGCCTCATCCGACAACGATTACCCCTCGGTTGAGTGAACCGGTTGACCGCCATGGTTATCAAACAATTCGGACCGCTGACGTGTGCCTGGTGGCCCGTTTGCGCCGTCGAAACCTCGGAAGGGATTCCACTGCTGCCAACTTCCAAGACTCACCGGGACCGGGAATTCCGCTATCCGTACGTTGACTAGGTCTCATGAGGCATGAGGTCACTGAGGTGGTATCTGTGTATAATGCCATTGCTCGGGGCCCGGCGGATGTATGGGGTTAGATTGAACAGTTACCGTAGTCCAACGTGATGATTTCGAACGATTTTATTTGGAATTGTTTTTCGACAATCCGACCAGAAAAGCGGATTTATTTATGCTGATTCCGACAAGAATCCGAATCCCGTATGTTCCCACTAGGAAGGGGATTTTGAGGCCGAACTTGGCCGTTTTCGGGCTTACGAGGACCATTTCGGGAATAATAAACCTTTCCGAATTTCCACTTTCCGAATGCGAAATCCGAATTTCTGACTTCTTAATGCAGATAATTATTTATTTATTTGGAATCATTACCTTGGACTACGGTAGCTTGAGCACTGAGGTTGTCTTCTGTTGAACGCCGAAACCGATGGTTAGCGTCCCGTTAAGTACAGTGTTAACCGTCCCACCGGGCATGGAGTCAACACCTGATGACGAAAGCGGGTACTGCCGGCCAACACCCATGTGGTCATATAGCACTAATTACTGACGGTGGAGGACTACACCCGCACCGCACTCTGCTGGTGGTGAAGCAGTGACTTGCAAATGCACTGGCAAGCATGCTACGTTTCTTGCACTGATGCAGCTGGGGCCGAGCTCCTGCCGCGGAGTCCTGCGCACATGAACAGCTCAAACAAACTCATTTGCTTTTGATGAGGGAGCAGACGCATCCTGCTAGTGAGCCAGCTGCTCTCCTGAATCCGCATTGCCAATCTTGCCACCGCTCTCTTCCAGTATCCGGCTAGCAGCCCGAGCAACATGGAAGAGTTCGCCAATCATGTGGAGGCTTCTTTGAAGGAACCGCAGCTGGTGTCTGCAGGAGGCCCCCCTGGATTCCCAACAGGCACCGGCAGGCCTGATGGAGGGGAGAAGGAGCCCAAGACTGCTGACAGAGCTAGCAGATGCAGGGCCAGGGCTGGGTCCCTGGTGCCTTTTTTCTGGTTTCCCCAGAAGGTCAACGAGAATGTGGCACGGTTGACCTCCGGAACAGGTGATGCTACCACAACCCGTTTCTGGGTTCTCTTCAGGGTGTCTGGTGCAGTAGCTGGTCTTGTAGAATTACTTTTGTCCATTTCAGTGTCTAGAAAGGCTTTCAAGCTCTCTTTCACATAACGGCGCATTATGATGTAACGTGATCAACCATACTGCCTTATATATGAATGAACCCCTAGCTCCAAGCAGGTTCAATCAAAGAAAAGAATGTTGCGCTGCAGTTTAGATAACAAAATTATTGACCTTCTTTTTGAACTAAAAAGTCAATTTTCTCTATTCTTAAACAAATTCTGTATACATGCTAGGCTTTTGATACATATTCAGCTGGGTCAGGGAAGTCTAAAGCTAGAAGACTCAATTGATGGACTATAAAGCAAAGCCAGCATGCTGCATACTCCAATTGCCAGCGCGCTAGCATGGACTCATGCAAGCAAGCAAGACTCGTCTGAGTTTGCGGGTAGATGAAAATAAACAAGGCCCCTCGAAGCTTCTGCGTATGGACCCTTCTGGTTGCACTTGAGAGCTCAGAAGGCTCATAACCTGGTACCAAAGTACTTAGGTTCCAGGGCAGATGTTTGGTCGAACACGCTTCCCTAACCACAGCTTCTCCATGCTATCCTACAGTGGTCCTGATTTGCGTGCTGTCAATTATCTTCCGGGCACAGCAAACCATCGCATTTGCCACTGGCGGCTTGGCTGCCGACTATCTCTCCAGGTGAGAACCGTGCAAGCTTACCCCAGCTAGATAAGTTGCACAACAAGGAAGCCTTGCAGAAAGTTACTTGCGAAGGGGGCCTCACCTCCTGCAGTAAAATTTGGTATGGTCAGAAGCTGCACAATGTATTTGGCTCCTAAGTGTTTTCATAGATATTTTAAGTTCTGCCTGCTTTTGGGGACATTACTTGCGGTACAGGGCTCCTTTTTTCTGCATCCCCTCAGGTTAAAGACTGATGCATCTATTGATTCAAAGAGCTGAACCTGGATGAAGAGCCAATCTGCAAACTCCTTTGACCCTGTCCGGGCCCAAACCCCGCACCTTACTGGCAACCATTTGCAGGACAATCCTTTTCTGCTAGCAGCCTATAGATTTTTAAAAACCTTCCAACATGCAGGATTGTGTTTGGGGGCATCTTCAGCCCCATTGGTGTCACCTCATCTGTCATTGCGGCTTTCCTTCCCAAAGCTTATGTGGACGGTGCCCCAAAACAATTTGCCGTCTTCTGCGGCTTCTTCTTCTCCTTCATGGCGGCCTTGATTTTCTTTGCGGCGGAGAACACCATTGCTGCCTCATGCTTCCTCGCTGCCTTGGCAGGTAAGAAGCTGGGAAAGTAGGGCATAGAAAATTGGTGGCTGTTTTGAAGCAGGAAATCAGCCCCATTTGTTCGATAGAGTCTTATTGGTAGGAAGTCGAGATCCCAGTATGCTCTGTTTAAGTGTGACCGGAACGTCCGCTTTGTATACAGAGTTCGTGTAAAAGGAGTCGTCGTCTGGGGGTTTTCAAGCAGGTCTTTTCCAACGTGTGGAATGTCCATCAAAAGCAAAGCTGGGATGAACACCTCCGATCCAGATGGTTCGCAAAGCAAAGTGCTTCTCTTTTGAAAGTTTCATTCACAGCTTGGCTTGAAGTGACGGACTGCGATTTCACATTCTTGCAGAAGTGACGGGCAGTGATATCTGCTGAAAGAGCAATGCATTCTTGCATCCACCTTTCTTGGCCATTACGAACCAGTCTTGATAGAAGGATGATTTTTTGCAGCTCCGATGTCTGATGCTCTCTGGGATGTATGGGGAGTCTGTGCTGATACAAAAAGAACTTCCTGCAGCTTGCTTTTCAGTCCACCATTTCCGTCCTAAAGCAGCAACTTATGTGATTGAAAATAAACGCAATCTCCTGACTGGCCGATATGTTTGCAGGCGCCGCCGCCCTGGAGTGCTTCATCAACTTCTGCGCCGGTTGCTGGATGTTCGGCCTCTTGGTCAAGGCCGGGCTAGTGAGCGGCGAATTCAAGGACGAGGCACACGCTATGCTCCGAGATTTGGAAGCTGGGGACGCTTGGGACGATGTTAAGCCGCTTAATGCGAAGACAACGGTAGGGCGACAGCAACGGCCTGACTCTGAGTGTTGGGATAAAGCACTCGTCAAAGGTCCTGAAATAAGGCTTCAGCTACACAGGCTTTCAAATGAACACCAGGAATCGGAATTGAGCTCAACCAGAAGTTAGCAAACGATGGTCAGAAGCGCCTGGACTACCGTAGAGCTTGATAACTTGCTTGTGTCTGCAATTTGAGGAGTGCAGAGAATGATGAGCCTGCTGCATCATACATACTCTGTTGCTTTGTTGCTGATACGAACTACCAAATCGGTACTACCCAAGTGGATCGAGAAGAGAACTCTCCGCAAATCTTCCTGCAAGATTGACTTCCGCATCTAGGTGTCCGGTACGCAAAACACAATGAAACATTGACCTCGATTATCAGTGGTCTAGTCGAAGCTAGCTCAGAAAATATGACCACTAAAATGCTGCATAGCGCTTTCATTTCAACCCTGAATTCTGTGACACAGCTGATAAAACGTGGCTAACGCCTTCAAGAGCAGTGACGACCTTTCTCTGCAGGACGCCGTCTTCATGGGAAGCCTTCCAGAGCGGGCGGCTGACGTGGCGCTCTATTACAAGGTCGACAAAAGCGACGAGTTCCGTAAGGAGGACCGTCACTTCATCCGTCACACGCAGGTCTCCTGGTTCGCTGCGCCGATGGGGCTGGCTGGCTTGGCCTGTGTCTGGTGAGAACCCTCATAACTCTGGGAGCTCCTGCTTGCTTTCAAGGGCATCCAACTGGACGCCAATCATGTCTGGTGGAAAAGCACTTGAATCGTATCTCCCATCCCATACTTTCTACACTTTGTTCCAACTCGCCACGGCAAGCAAAGAGCTACTCCCCAAAGGGAATTCAAGCGAAGAGCCACCTGCACTATTTCTCGTCGTGCGACGTGAAACAACCAACAACATTCAATGATTCCTTCCGCCCTTGCAAGCAGAGAATGTTTTCTTGACGTTGAAATGACGAGCACCTGCTTAGGCGGCGCCGCTGCCTTATCAAACCCAGGCGGTCAGTTTCATGCAAACGCTTCAGAATTTCGACCGTGCTGACTCGGAAAAGCTCACTGCGATTGAACCTCAACTCAGCTTCTGTCGTCATTGATAGGGTTTAGGACCCACAATCTCGATCGTACTCCATGCGTAAGTTCTGTCGTCTTGAGCGGTTCGTTCCCATATATTTCAAAAACTCTCTGGACATAGTAAGTCGTTTTCCTGTTGCGATTGGATTCCGCTTCCCGGGACTGTCACGGTCAAGCAGGAAGTTTCTGACACGATCCGTTTGCTCAGGGTTCCTGCCCAGGACGCCATCCATACTCCCAAGGGCCTGTGGCAGGGTTTTGGCATCGCGAGCGCGGTCGTCTTTGCGGTGCTCCTAACGTTATACGCCTCTCGCTGCCTCTTTTACCCGCGCAAGATCGCCAAGGAGTGGGCCCATCCGGGTAAGCGGATAGTGCGACAGCCTTTCTGTAAGCAAGTCAGGAGTTTGTCCATTTTTCAACAACGCTGTCGGAATTGAGGACCACCGTTTTGCGATGGGTCTAACGAGGACTAAGAGAGGTCTTCGTCTATATATACGAGGGTCGTAAAGGGGTTTGCAAATCAAGTGAAAGATCTTGGGGCTCCTTCGACGCTTGACTTGGACATTCCCGGAATGCGTTGAGGGGTTTACGACCTCCATGCATTGGATTCCCTCAGAGTTGATTGTGGCAGGTTCCTGGATCACTTAAGCTGCGCAAAGAAAGAAAACGACTCGAGTGATGCTACCAAGACGTCAGCCTGAGGTTTTCCACCTAGCTAAACTCTGCGCAGGATCGGCCCTAGTGACAGTTACCCTGCTTCCGACATCGATCTTCCACCTAAGATCAGGCTGTCAATCCGCTTTCACCTTATGAGTCTCTGTTGCTGACAACATCTTATTCTCGCCATCTGTAAGTTTTGATTCGGAGCAGCTCCCTAGCTTTACATCGGTGGCTCCGGAGCAATGCAAGAAGTGGATGCCCTGTGTTTCAAGACCGTTCCAATAATCCCATTTCCGATTCCCACCGCAGTTTACAGCAACTTCTTTTCGACCGTAACCATCACCCTCCTGCTCTACGCGTACGTGGCGGCAGCCGGTGACCGCCCCCGGCTCTGCGAGGTTCTCTTCGTAAGTGCATAAGATACTCCAAGTCCCCGATTTCTGATTCTTTTTCTATTTTTCATATGAAGGCTCCGGATTCAGAAGGCTCCGGGTTCAGAACGTTGCACACGCAACCCGGACTGGAGCGTCCACTTCCGTACATGCACGCCTGAAGATTCGACCATGGCAGCATCTAAATGGAACGATATGGACTGCTTTTGTCTCGCGATGATTGCCCTGATTACTGACTCCAAACTGCAGAAACTCGCTTATGACAGCATCATCGTCTCGATTGTCGAGAGGGCATTCCCACAGCTTTAAAGGACTAAGTTGATCCGAAAGAGGATTATTTGGATCATATTCTGTTCCAGAGTTATCATCTGGACCGAAACCCAATGGGAACGGGCGGGGACTCAAGAGCTTCAGATCAAGCGCCTCGTTTTCGGGTAACTGCCGATCTGACTCTTCTTTCTCTTCTGCAGTGGATCGCGGCGCCCATCCAGCTATTGCTCGCAGTCATCATGGTCGCCCGGTGGATCCGCTCCCCGTTCTTCCTTCACAGCGTCAACCCCGCCTGGATGATCCCGGTCCTAGGCAACTTTGTCGCGGCCTTCGTGGCGCCGTTTGTCCAGGTACTCGTTAAAAAAACGAAACCTATGCCAACAGAATGCAAGGAACGTTTAGCAGGCACGTCGACTAGAGCCTCGCCGAATGCGCATCTCCAGAAACGATGGTCCGAACAGGATCCAACGGAGTGTTCAAATATGCTCAGTCCCTGCTTCGGATTGGAAATATTCAAGCGTGCATTACTTTTCGATCACGCTCATATCGACCCTGGGTTTTGCCGTGGAAATTCGGTAGGTTGCCTGTCAGCTAGCTCATTCGAATCCGGTTAGTGACCCTCAATCAGCCATATGAGACTCTTGCAATACATCAGCTCGTTGGCTGACCGCAGTTCGGAAAGAGGAAAAACTCTCGGATTGCTTATATAGAATTTTCTTTGTTCAGCCCGCGTCTCTTCTGCAACTCCGCCATGGCATCCAACCGGGTCTTTGTTGCTAGCCAAGACTGGTCAAATTATGGTTAAGCAAGGTGTAACCGTGCTTTGGCGCCCATTTTCGTACAAGAAACGCTGTGTAAAAGACCCTTCTCTGTATGCACCACGAATCAATTGTTACGCTCCCACTTGCAGGGCTACGTGAGCAAGACCCTCGAGTTCCAAGAAGCGGGTTACCTCTGGTTCAGCTTCGCCCTCCTCATGTGGCTCGTGCTGCTAACCCTCACCCTAACCCGCGTCATAACCAGCGGGAACCTGGAAGAGAAGCTGCGCCCCTCGGTGTTTATCTACATGGCGGCACCGGCGATGGCCGGGTTAGCGTACCTGTCGCTAACCCTGGGGGTTTGGGACGAGTTTACCCGGATCCTTTTCTTCATTAGCTGGGTCTGGTTCTTCGTTATGTGCTGGCTGGGGATCACGGGTTACTTCTGGTCTAGGTAAGAACAGTTTCATTCTCGGTTTCCTGGTTTTGACGGGCTTGACCCGATCTGCATCTGGCGCGTCTCAACATATGCACTTTGTCCGGAGTGCACTAGTTCTGGAGCATGTTTGGGCCGGAGTCAATCAGCTTCTGTCCTACTTCCCGCTTCGTGAAATTTTTTAGCCGTCTTCACTTGATTCACTCGGTCCTGCTTCTGGGGCCCCTCCCCTGACATTTTCATCATGCCTTTTCCGCTTTGCTCCGAAGCCTGCTCTTGGATCTACCCCCTTTTCCGCTCGGAATTTGGAGCCAGTTCTAGTGCACTTGAATGCTGAAAGTGGTGACGATTTCGTCTAGCCCTCCTCAAAAATGCATTTCAGTAAGCTTTTATTTCCCTTCACTCTCTCATCTCTCTTGTAGGCCCAGATCCAGAACCGTGTCAGAGAGCACGTCAAACCTACCCTTAGCGACTCGACCAAACCCAACCTGCCACGTGTGCAGGTTTGAGATGGCCAGCTGGGCGTACGTTTTCCCGCTGGCCACCCTCGCGCTCTTCTCCCTGGAGTACCATTCACACCTACGGACCGCATTCACACCCGTCCCCGCGATCGCTTCGCTGGTCGCGCTGTGCGTCGCGGCCTACATGTGCCTCGGGTTTACTGTCCTCAGGTGAATACCCTCCGCTTATTCCATCTGGCAGAAGCGCACTCCCGACTGGATGGGTTGCTTGAACACCAGATAGCCCTGAGTTTACCAAGCTTTTTCCATTGTGGATGGATCTTCTTTGGACGTTTCTACATTTGTGTTCCGTTGAAAGGGACCGCCAGCTGGCAATTCTTGTGACGATTACGTCTGGTTAAGCCTAACCTCGTTCTCGTCAGGATTTCGTTAGCTGCTTGTTAGCGAAACGACAGCGGT